CGCTTTTCTCTTCTCATTTACTGCCTTCTCTTGCACTCGTGGCATGTTTTTTTCCCACGCGAGTTCGCAAATCCCCCCCCCCCGCCTCTCTCCCCCTAAAGTGCCTTCATTGTTGCCTCTCTGGCCTAGTCGCACGCGATGATGGTGATGGCCGCTGCGTCCATTTTATCAATAAACACTACTTGAGGAAGCAGATGAAGCCTTCGAGTGCATTGTGTCATTGTTGTTTCTTGTTTCACGACTGTTTCATTAAGCCTTATTAGAACCCCGCGTTAGGTGGTCTTAGGGTATTAGAAAACGTGTGCCTTTAACAGTGGCGAGTTGGTTGTTAGGTGAGCAATCCAACCCCTAACCCGAACTTGGTGCCTTCAAACGCTAACTTGCCTAATTGGTTTAAATTTGGTGCCGCGACGCACGCACACACCCCACGCTAAAAACACAGGGTTACGTGGAGTCCCTCGTCTCTAATCTGCTAGCGGTAAATCAGGCAAAGTTTTCCAACGTGGATTAGCAGTAGAACAGATGTGCTCACTACGGTAGTGGTAAGCAAGATGTCCGAAATGTGTTGACGTTGCTGCCTTGAATTGCAATTAAAGTATTGTCGTGATTCCTGTTTATTCAAACCCCTAATCCGGTGGCTCCACCTCCTACGCAGGGTTCCCCTTTTCGCAGCAATTCGCCAGCGGAGCGAATCCTCAACACCCCCTTCATTACCACGAGTATTTATCTTGGAGTATTCGCACACCTAGGTCTCGATGTTATCGCATGTATGACTTACACATCTGAGGTATAAATACACACGCGCAAACCCCACACACGACACAACGACACCAGTTTTGGTTGAGCTCTGGAGTAAACGGTTGTGTCCACGCCCTCTCCTGTCTTTTTCTTCATCGCGGGCATCAGGCAAGTGTTTAATCGTGCCAGGGTTAATTCCGTGGCCCCGGCGTGGTTCAAGACCACATGCTGGGGCCCACAACAGTATAATCCCTAATAATGATTTGAAACAGTTTTGGGAGCCTGCTTGCAACGTCAAATTAGTGTGCGGAACATGAAACCGAGGTCTAACGTCTTGGCAGTTGTTACACGCGAGTGTCCGCGGCTGGTTGGACGTGTTAAGCACGAAACGGGATTGGCCATAGTAACAGACGATGCGTGTAGACAAACAGTTGCTGCAGCACTGGTGATTGGCGGCGTTGATTGGCTGAGAGAACATGCGGGCTCAGCCATCCGGGGAGGAGGCGTAGGCTTGATCTGTTGTAGGACCAAGTCTCTGCTTTCGATGGCGTGGAATATCTGTTCAGTGTTTTTGTACTACTCATTTCAGTGGTGTAGAAGGGATATTGTCGAAAATGCATAATAGGAATTTATCATTTGCCGGCTGATGGATCTAGGAAAGTGTCTTTCGGGGAAGAACTAGGAGGAATAAGGGGAAAGGGGCTAATTAACGCAGTATTCGGGAGACGCGAGTAGATGTGTTGCGTATTAAAGCATCCATTTCTGTTCACGTCCTTGAGGTGAATTGTAATTTCAGGACAACATTTCCACTCTTTCGAAGAAAAAGTGAATCATTGCTTCAGTGTTTATTTGTGTCGTTGATGTTGTATTAGAATGCCTCTAAGGCTTGGCCATAGTAAATCGCGTACGCTGAAACACAAACGCAGTATTCTTGATCACAACAATTCAGTAACTATAGTGATTTTACATTATGCGAGACAGAAGTCACTGCAAGCCCCACGAACAGGGCAAAAACGGGGGTTGCGTAAATGACCTTGCTAGGTTTCCACCACGTTCTTCTCAACCTAAGGGAAGGGGACCAGTCTGTGCCCGTTTGCGTAGCTGTCAACATTTCAAGCAGGTCTAGTAATGTAGACACACATCATCATTCCTTGAAGTCTTAATTCATTTTTACTCTGCAAGTAATGTTAAAGCACTGAAGGTACGTGGCGTCATAAGGCTGAAGCATGAAGCATGATTTAGTAAGACCAAATCCATTTAAAATGACTTTGCCTTCACAAAATACGCTAGAAAAATATTTCAATTTTTCAGTCAGTAGCTTTTTAAACTGAAGAAGCGGTTGTCTCTCTCAGAGAAGAATCTAAGATAGAATGTTAAAAAATTGTTCAGTTTGTTCGAAATAGCTACAATACTCGAGGTTTTGATAAATGCCAAAATATACGACTCCTCTTGATCATAAAAATTTTTATTAGGTAGCTGATACAATCGTCTGGACTTGACTTATAGAACTTTTTGCAGAAGTAACGCCTGACCAAGCGCCATTGCATCAAAAATTTCGGAAAACCATACTGCTCTAACGCATTGCCCGTCTTAGTTAATATAAATGCTATTTACCACGTTCTGAACAAAGTCATTCATTTCAACTCGACATCCCAGTATGCACTTAGAGTACCAATCTGAATGAGGTTAATTGGCGCTTGCTTTTCGGGTATTTATTCGAACCAGAAGAAGGTAATAAAATATGAAAAATGGACATTGCTAAAAAATATTTTTGAATTAAGATGTCATGCTTCTTACAGTGGTCAAACTTAAAAATTTAGGGTTCCTGTCTACACCCCTTGGGAAAGCCTATTGAGTGTGTAAGAATGTAATGCTCAAATAAAGGGTAATGTTGACGAGTGTAAAATAGTTGCCATACCTCTTGAATGAATTTGAATTTTAAATAAACCAATACGCTGAGTGTAAGGGTTGCAAATAATTATCACAGCCCGTCCATGGGTAGGTTACTATTAGTAAGTAAACTTAATGTAACGTTAAAAAACGAATGAAGGAAATTCAAAAATCCTTAAATCTGCCAGGCCACCTATCAATTCTAGAAAGGCCCACACAGACTTATTTAATGATCTTGTCAAGAGTATGATAAAAATAGCTTATCAGCTCTATAGATTTTTGTTTCAACTGAGTATAATTTTGTTCACTTAATTGCATCAAGACTTTTTCAGTATCAGATAATTTTTGCGAACACTCCTAATATTGCATACATTTGTGCATTCTCACGTGTTACCAAGGTATTTGGGATATCGATGAAGGTATTTGACTTTAATTAGACATAATCAGTGCGTGAAATTAAAATCCAGGTACAAAGGCAAGTCCTTCAATCAGTTACAAACTGAATTGCTAGAGCCGATATGATTTCCCTATTCTAATAAATTCGACGTTTCGCAGAATAAGGCTCAATGTTCCTGAATGGATATAAAGAAAATGATATCATCCCCAAAAATGTATTTCGACAATTTTGTTTGCTTGAAGCGTAGCCTTAAAATAAATAAATCGAACCGAAGAATATCAAACTGTCAGCTTAAAGCCTTTCTCCAATAAATTACATTTAAATACGAGGGCTTTTAAAAGCCTTTATTAATAGCTATAAACGACAATAAATGTGGCTGCTCAAATAGTTAAACTTTGTAAAATTTTGTTCTTTTTTCATTTTGGCTTTGAAAATTGGATCAGTCAGAGCAGTCCTTTAATTATTCTTTTAATTCCTTATGTGTGACTGTTTTAAACGCTTAAAAAGTAGACAAAAAGGTGTGCAACCTAAACAGATTGAATAAAATATACTTGACGTACATATCTAGAATTCTTTTACGAAGGACAGTGTGCACTAACTGTAATACAACTTAAGTTACCGGCTTAATGTCTGTAGACCAAAAACCTTGCTCATCAATTGTGAATTTCGTTAAAAGACGAGGTATTTATATTGTAGTAAAAATCATGCACATAAATTTTTGGAAGTGTTCCGAAGTTTGATTATGATGAGAGCATAACATTGAATTTAAAACTACGGACATATGGTTGTAAAAAAAAGCAGTTTGATATGCACGATTGATTGGGTGGCTAACTGCCAATCGCAGAGCAGTATTGCCGTTTTGTATTGTGTTGGTTTTTGTTTCACAGAAAAAGGTCGTAAATGTCGAGTAAATTTGCACCATCTAAAGGCGATTGGATATGTAGTGATTCGAGGTACTACCGCTGCCATCTTACCTTTTTCTAGATGTGGTAACGTCAACTTTGCACGTCGTGAAAAGTGTAATAAATGCGGACGCCCAAAAAAGCATCAATCAAGTGTTCACGTTTCTGGCAGGGAAATAGGAAAGGAACTGGCTGAAAAGAGTCGAGGACTATTTAGCCCTGATGACTGGCAATGCAAAAGGTACGCGCATGAAAGTGACCCTGTCTTCATATGTTTGACAATTTTTCAGTTGTTGACCTCGCCTATCCACTAGTGAAATATGCTTCTTTCTATTGTAATATCTTACCTCTTAGTCCTCAACCTTTCATCTTTTATTTGATATTCGGTAAATTTTGTCCCTTGGTAAAAGCAGGTAACTGATCAACCCATTGCATTTCATTCCTTTTTCCTAAAATGTATCTCTCAGCTAAAGCGGAGCATCAATTGCTGTAATATACCTTTGTCGCTGGTTATTTTAGAACCAATAACAAGTCTAAAGAACACTCATTGTGGGTTGGCTTTTGTTCATTGAATTAATTTTTTTTATTACATCTCGATGCTCTCGTTTCTTTGCTCTTAGCATTTGCTAGTCCGAACACGCTCAATTCCTTTTTGGTTCCTGTTTTTTTAATTTGCTGCTTTCTCTATTGCATTGAGGCTTCATTTGTTTCTTCACCGACTTATGGAGTGATGAGAGTTTTTATAGCCTCAGCACCTACTTATTCCCTTGAAATTTATAAATGTTGCTGGGCTCAATTATTTTATTCAAAGTCTTCTAACTTTTCATTTTAACTAGTTGTGGTAACGTAAATTGGGCACGAAGGACTGTCTGCAATGTGTGCAACACCTCGAAAGTGAATACCCAGGGTCAACGAACCGGCTACGGTGGTGGCTACATGGAACGTGATGAGGTGGTGGACTATAAACAGCGTGACGAATCTGATGACGAATATGACGAGGTATTTTTGGTCTGAATTGGTTTTTTGGTTTATTCGCCTTTTTACTGTACAGTTATAAACGCCCAGTAATTTCGTAATCGGTTGGCCATTAAGCTTGATGCTGCGGACTTTCATTCGGCTTTACCACTTGTATACTTTATATAACTGTTTCGTTCTTCTCTTCCCGTCTCTGTGTTGGATCCTCTTCATTTTTTTATGTTTCACGTAATTTGTTGTTGATCTAAAATGTAATTTTTGGTTTCTAGTTCGGAATAAAGAAAAAGAAGTATCGGAAGGTACAAGGGGTAAGCGAAGTTTCTAATAATGCGTAAATGTAATAAATATGTCCATGTTGTGTCCAAACAACAATGCTTCAGCTCAGTAGTATCACAAATACGCACCGTCGCTTCTAGATTCTGTGTCTCCTCCATAAGACCCTCATTAAGCATCTTTGTCAAATGCAATGGTTGTGGTCATGCGGATAAGTTAATTCTACGCTTTCTTCTGCAAATTGGCTTTGTAAACATGCATATCTTCAAGTTTGTAGTAAAATGCTGAATTGTAGGATGCACTTCTAGGCTTCAGTTGGCCTTTCCGCTGATTGGTTTAATTTGACCGCTGCAGGCAGAATCCGAAATTTGGAGAAACAGTTTGTGTCAACATTGAGTCCACTCAAACTGTATTCTTCGATGCTATTGCGGTGCTTGAACTAACATCTTTTTTATAGAATGGAGAAGATGCAGAAACAAAAAATGCCGAACAGAAGGATAATTCAGAAAACGATGCTCAAAAGGAGCATAGCAAAGAGGAGCAAGAAGAGGCGGAGGACGACGAGGAAGACGAAGAAGAAGATTCAGGTGATGACGGGGACCTCTCAAAGTACGACATTTGGGGTGACGACGACGACGACAACGGGGAAAACAACGAAAAATCGGGAGCTGGCGACACCAGTCTGGATAAAAGCGGGAAAAAGGAGGCGTCTGCTTCTTCTTCTTCGTCGTCGTCTTCTAGTGGAAGCAGCAGCAGCGACGACGAAAGTTCATCAAGTTCCACATCCTCGTCCTCGAGCACAACCTCACAGAAGAAGGAGAGGAGCCCCAGTCCGAAACCCTCGAATGAGGTCGAGAAGCAATCGTGACAGCTTTGTGTGCTCACAAAATTTTATGTACATTTGGTCTATACTGTATTATTGTAATGCACGGTGCAAAATAACTACACAGGCTTTGTACCTCGATTTGCAGCTGCTTTTCAGGTTTGGTTGCTGGGATGCATCCGTGTTGCGTTCACGTTAAGACCGCATTACCCTGCCTCTAGCTACCAGTGACCAATGGTGACTACTTCGGAAGGCCGCCTTGGGAGCCGCTGATTGGCTGTTTCTTGGAGCAACTTAATCACATTCTAAGATGAATTATAGAAAACACGAAGCCAATGAAAGGTTGGACGCGTACAGCGTTTTTATTGCAGTAGAGTAGCGCTTAGTTCGTACTCCATGGTTGCTAAAAAAACAAGTACGCGTGGACCCGGGGTAATCTATGTACAACAGGAGGAGGAGGAGGAGGGGGGATGGGGTGACTACTAGAACACCCCGGTGGTCAGCGCAGAAGACGGTGGGACGGCGATCATTTCGGTGCTCGCCATGAGAGATTGCCGTATGGCCTGACGAGTGCCCTCATCCTGGCAGCAGACGTGGCTCGCGTTCTCCGTCAGTAGGATTGTAGTGGTCGAGTTGGGCTAAAATTGGCAGAGGTGTTACACTTGGGGTGTACACTAAGAAAACAGAACTACTTAGCCACCAATTGCAAAACCTATCTGCTACACTCACAAACACAACCAACGCGCATTTGGCGGGGTCGGGCTGAAGCCGAGACAGGACCGGCAGGTGGGGGGTTAGCTGCGTGGCGAGGAAGTTTGCCAGCACCTTGGGTTCAGTGATCACCTGAGCACCAGTGACCCCGGACTCGGTCAGCTGTTTCACCAGCTGACCCGCGTTGATTGGAGACTTGGCGATTAACATGTGGGCACCACCCACCACCACCTTCGATTTTTCTCCCGACTGCGGGCTGCCTGGGGGTTTGGGGGAGGGCGTGGGCGAGGTGGACCTCCCCACAGACGTTTTCTCACTGCCGCGCTTCAGGGCGTCGCCGTCCAGGCTCTCCAGCCGGTACTTGCCTACAGAATGAAGGACCTTAAGACTCTCTCATCCAGTTAACCTGCGTTCGAAAAAGAAGGCGACAGCAGGAATGTGCACTCGTCCACCGCAAAAGATCGCCTCCTCACAGAGCATTAGGCATCAGGAAGTCAGCTGTTTTTGAAAGTAGAGAGAAAGCAACTTTGATCTCGACTCATGCATTTGCAATTTCACAGACTACTACCTACGACAGTTCCCATGGCAATTGGCCGTTGAGGTTTCTTCTCCGTGTTTTAGGGGATATAATTCTAAACCCGGATTGATGGCGCGTAGAAAAATGACCTGGACAATAATGGAGCCATGTTGTCGGGAGAATTAACTGTAGAAGTGTGTCAATTGAAGTGAAAAGTAATTTATGGACGATGTGAATAGCAACAAACAGCATTTGGTGCGGACAGTGGTAATGATCCTATACGTCTGATTTGGCAGACGTTCATGCGTCAGGTTTTAGGGCGGAAATATGAAAAGGGGGCCTCACTAGCTCATTGGACTGAATCACAGAAGAAGCGACAAAAGATTGCGTGCAAATGCATTGTGACACAGATTTACACGTTTTGTGTAAGAGGGGGGAATATTTTAGCAAAAAATGGACGTGTGACATGGTTAAAAGCTGAAATCGTTCCGTTGCAGACGGAAAAAACAAGGAGGTAGCGTTGGGGGTGCTCACCATCGCGGAAACAGAGTCGACCGTCGATGAGTGCCACGTGCGACTGCACGGGCTGGGGGCTGTCGCGTTGATCGCGGTTACGACGGGGGTCCTTCGATGCCAGCGGCTTCCCCAAGGTGAGGGGGAACGCCGAGTGAACGAGGAAGTCCGGATCCACATGAACTGGAAGCAGTGCGGCCTCCTTCAACTGCACGTCCAGACACTGCTCGAATGCGATTTGGTAGACCGACACGTCGGCAGTCTTTTTAACGGGCTGGAAAAGGAAGGACGTCTCATGTCGCTGCGGCGACCTCAGTGAACACCGAAAATTTAAAAAAAGAAAAGAACTCACAAGAATAGCTTCAGGATTCGTCACCTCTTGAGGCAAAATAAGAGCCTGTTTCGGCATGCCGCACTTCTCAAACAGAGTCGGTAGCTGATCCAAGGAGATGTCGAATCGCAGGGGAAGCCAATACGCCGTCAGCTCAGGCCCTACGGAGGTCACGGGCATGCTCGATGCCTCCTCCTCGCTGTCGCCGGAGTTTTCTTTTTTGAGCGAGGGCTTGAATGGCTCGATGGTGTAGGAAAGCTGTTCAACGGGACTCCATTCACTAAACCAAGTGAATCGAAGTCAAAAACTTGCTCAATCAAAAAGGAAGACGCGTGAAAAACTTGTGGCCGTCTGTCTCAAAGAAGGAAGACTGATTTCGACAGGACAATGTGATACTCCCGACGCTGACGAACCATACATGCGGCCGATTTTTCTCCCGACCGGTGTGGGCCCAATTTCAGTAGGCGATTCGTCAATTAATGTATGGCCCAAGGAATAGGGTAAGGGTAAGGATCTTAAAGGAGTATAAACGATCTTCCTTAAAACTGGGTGTATCTTGGATCAAACATTGGACAATAAGGTGTCTTAAACTTCAGACAGCCACTATAGTTAATACAAACTTCAAACAGGCCCTAACTCGTCGTTAGCATGAGCTACTTTGAGTCAAGAGGCTTGGGGACAAGTTTGAGGCCATTTGCGATTTCTGATCGGTTGTTATGGATGAAGCTACGAAGTAAGATAATCAATTTGTAGACATTAAGAGGAGTAGAAAAAGTATATTATCATCGAAACCGGATGTTTAGACTATGGAAAGAATCTTAATATTTGCAAAAAGAAAACATGGGAAAATGCATGCTTACACGCTAGGCAGGAATTCATCCGACTGGACGAGTATGAGAGCGTTGGACGAGTGCTTTTTTTGATTGACACTGCCACCGAGGGAGAGTGCTCGAATGAGGTGGACGGCAGCACCGAGGCGACAGCTTGGGTGGCCGGTGAGGAAGACGGCTGGGAAGGGAGGCCACAGCCCACCCTCCACGTCGCCACCCTGCTGTCCTGGTGTTGAGTGGAGCGACGGCAGTGTGGCCAAGTGCCCGTTACGAATCCACTGGAGGAAACAGGTGACCCGGATTATGGCAGAATGGATAACACACAGACTATGCGTGACCTCTAGTAGTGTATTTGGGTGAATAGCACATTTTCGTGAAAAGTAAGCATGATTTTCAATTTCGACTAAACTAGCAAAGCCGGCAGCCGCGACCCAAACCATAAACGTACAGAGTTGAAGGCGAATGGCGAGTCGGCAGCGTAGAGAGCAGATTCCCGGTCTGGAGCCAGCCATTCACCAGAAGCGTTGGCATACGCAAGACTGGCCTTGGCTTGGGACGAGATGAACAGGCACGGACACTTGGCCACTTTTCCCATCAACGAAACACCACCTTTAGGCGCCTCATTTTCGTTATTCGGTCCTGTCGATGTGGCCGACGACGACGAGGGCGCATTGAAAGCGGGATTGAGATTGCCACTGAATTCTTCCTTGGCTGCGGCCACATTTTCAAGAAGGTAGTAGATCAGACCCGAGGGGAGAGTTGGCACTAGGGCGTGACCACCGCGACCCAGTGTCTGTGCTACAAAATTGATTGAAGCCAACTTAACAAGAGCAGAACAGAAGTTAACTAAATAGAGGCGACCTGGTCTCCTGGAATCTAATCATTAGGATCTTGAAGTATTCTCTGACATTCGCGGTGTACGATACTTGCAAAACGTGTCGACTTAATACAATCAACAAAATAAAAAACAACCACCAAGTTTTGGTACCTAACAAGTAGAAAAAAATTGACATAGAATGCGCACCAAAAACTGCAATCATGTGCGTACCTGTAACAGTTTTGAATTTTTCAATGGCCTTTTCAATTGGAAGAGATTTTGATGTGTTAACAGAGCCCAAAATGATAACATCAACATCTGCGAACTCCGAAAAGTCCATGGGCTAAATATTAAAAAAATTTATGAATGAATTGAAGCAAAAAAACGGAAATCTGGAATTCGCTTACCATAGCGAATGATGGGTACAGAGAAGAGCGCGAAATATAGGCCAGTTTTTCAGAATCCGTTTTTAAAATCCAATTACAACTTCCAATTTCATAGCCAGCAGAGACGCACTTGACTTTGAGAAGTCCAAAGAGATTCTTGAAAACAGTAAAACGCGTTAGGTACGCACAGTACAGAGCAGCAAAATAATTTAGGGAACTCACGACGAACTCGTGGTATGCAAGAGTCTGGATTTTCGACAAGGAATTGGCAGCTTGCTCCTGTGTATAGCGCAGCATCCACTGCCCACAATTTGGAAATCTAGGGGGACAATGTCATTGAAAATCAAAAGAAACCTGTTTTTCCCTGACGCAGAAACAGATGAAGATAGAAGGCGGGTCTCATTAAAGAAGTCATCAATTAGCACCCTATCAAAATCAGAGAATCAGTAAGTAACACCACGTACTTCCCAAACCTCAAGACTGGCGCAGGTGTCAGTACCTTTCCACGAAAACTTTGCAGCTCAGTTATGTATGGCAACATAACCAGACTATATGAATTTGACACCAGAATAGCATCAACCATTCCCCATTCAATACTATCAGCACCCTATAAAAATAATAAAATTCAGATTTTCGGTGTTATCGATTTCACCATAATGAACCATTAAAAACAGGTCACATACATCAAATAAACCAGTAACAATATCTTTGTCTAGTGTGGGAAACTCTTCGTCAGCTAAAATGCCTAAAAATTACAGTCATGGGGTGAATCCAACAAGAACAAACTTTCACAATCACAGATTATTTGTACATCATTTAGAGCCATCCAAAGGCACGGGTGGCTCGGATTCACATTAAGGCGTTTCTAAAATTGATTAGAAGAGAATGTTCATACGATTTTCAGCATGACGATGAATGAACACAAGCTTCGGCAATTACAAGTATTTTAAAATATCGGGTCTCTTTCGGAAAAGTATAACACTGTTAATGATTTTCTGTCAGTCTGCTTCGTAGTTAGACGCCTCGTACGATGTACCAAAGCATGTACAATAACTTACATAACTTTGTAAACTGTTAATTAGTGTTTAAAAATTCATCTTTGGCTATTTGGAAAGGCTAGTCAAAAGCAATTTTTTCATTTAAAATGGTAACATTCAGGAAATTCCCTAACTGTACTGAAAAAATAAACAACCCAAATATAATTCATGATTTGTGTAAAATAAATTGCCATTTATGCGTAGTATTACATTTATAACATCATTGCAAATCATGGTGTAATTTCGTTTTTTTGTGTTCTCAGTGAAAATAATTTTCAAAAAACTGCATTTTACGCTATTGCTTTAGACTTCCTTTGCCATCATGCATAAGTTTTTTTCGAATTAAATATTAACTGCTATATCACTTTACCTCGTGTCGTGTTCCTAAATATGTCGGCTGTCTTTTAAGTTAGGTTTTGAATAGTTTAGCATGAAGAAGGAATTAATGTCAGGTAATATTTGTCAATTTTTAATTCAAAAACTTAAGCTTAATTAATCAAATCAACAATTTCTCATTGTTGGACAAATCCTTTGAGGTTTTGCGAATGTCGGTTAAAAGATTAAACTCTTGAAGTTAGTGAATGCAGAATGGGGCAGAAAATTGAAGCAAATGTAAATTGTGATAATAAAGAAAACTAAGTGATCTGCACATCATTTAATGGCTGGAAAAATCGAAAATATACCCGAAAATTTTTTCACTAATTGGTTCTCTAGTTAAATTTATTCTGTGCATTCACGAGGCGATTCCACACCCCGATCGAGATCAAGTCTTATAACACTGTAAAGTGCAATAGCCTTATGCAGTGTCTCCGTATAATTACTAAGTTAATCTACAAAGAATCGCTTCAGCAACGCTGCTATGGAAATTTGGTAAAAATATTTGGGCAAAATCTGGAGGTTGCAAAAACCTTTGGTGACTAATCGATTAATGTTAATTAGATAACTATTGACGACATTACCACATCTGTCAATCTAAGCCAGCAGCCACATTCCTACTTTGTAGTCCAATTTGGTCGCTTTATGCCTCCCATTCTAACTAAAATTACAATGTCTGTTCGAAACCAAACACACATACAAGTCAGAAATCATGAACAAAATTGTGTTTAATGCAGACAACAAAGATCTTCTAATGTAGTTTTGCTTTACTTGGGAAAATTTTATGTATAAGCCCTGCATGGAGTGGACCTGGCTTTTCCTATCAAACTTCATGAAACAATCTAATGAGTTTTTTTCACGCAAAGAGAACAAACTTATTCTGCGAAATGGTGTCCGATTACAGTCTATCAGTGAGAAGGACATATTTTGAGCAATGTTGCGTTGCAACCCCGTGGTAACGATGTGGATGTTCTTTACGTATTTTGCTAAGAACTGCCTTCAAAATCAATGGCTCGGGGACTGATGCTTCTCGGGCAAGCGAAACTTCTTTAATCTCGGAACTGATAGGGATGGTATATTAAAGATAATTTCAACAAATTTGCTTGATGAACGACCAGTCAAGTTCTCTCGAAAGATTTTCTGAATGTTTTGAAAAGTTTGCAAAGGCCCCTAATTATCCAAGGCCAGGACAGTTTGCTGCATCGGCTCATAGTTACTGAAGCTGTAATAATTAAAGATAAAAAATTGATGCCATTCATGTTGTTGAATGTCTTCAATGGTAATTCATTTTAAATCTCGGCAAACACGAACAATGGTAGTTTAAAAGTGTTTGTGCCGATAAGTCATCAGCACGATTAATTTTATTACTTGCCAATGCAATGCAAAAGCAGGCAAATTTGCAGTCTTTGGTAGCATGAGTGAAGTATGTTGACTTTGACTAAACAATCAACTACTATCTAAATCTAAGCAGACGTGATCCTGTTAGAGAGCTATTGTAATTCCGACTGAAGTAAGTTTTGTCTTGGCTGATGGTAGAATGATATTTCATAATTAACGTGCCAACTGTATGCAAGGTGTCGGCTGACTGGTGATTACAATATAGAATATCCGAGCCATAATAGGATGAAGGCTGGTACAACAGAACAGGGTTTATTAATCAATCACGAGCCAGAGCCACACATCAGGCGCCTTTCACCCGAGTCCACCACGCTAGCCACGCCGCTCATTAAATACTGCACCTCATTCGTATTCTTATCTGGCTGGCTGTTTATCTTCCTCGCATGCCATTGAATTGCAGAGAGGCACAGGATTGGCTGAGGCCAGGGGGTCCGATATGTCTGCGCCCTGATCCGTCGCAAAACCACAACAACGAAATTGTCTTCCAGGTATGGCTGCGGCATCCTGATTGATCCTCAGTCACAGGAAACATGAATATGGAATATCGGGTTAAGGGTATGTTTTAGAATACCAAGTATCACGTGAGGGCTTAGTAGATTATAGGTTAACTCAATGTAAATGAGGTAAATCGATATGATTTGTGGATGTAGACGGTGCATATGCAGGTGGAGTCTGCAATGTGTCATCAAACTGACTGGCAGACCCATAGGTGTGACTAGAGACAATGATATGTGTGGGAATCAAGGGCACGCCAAGATGGCGTACGTTTCCAAGATGACAAATGTCGCATTATCACATGTCATCGTGGCGTGTTTATCGACGCAATTTTAAACAATACATTACCGCCTATTCTGTACATGGGTTAAAAATATCTTTGATACTTGTTTTGGATAGCTTTATTTGAAATTATGTAACTGTTGTACTTTGTCTTAACTAACGGGCCTGTTAAATGTAGTTCTCCTCTTTATCTCATTTCAATCTAAATTTAGTTTGCATTGGTTTAAACAATGTCTAGGTCAACACTGAGAAGCCATAGCAACATCTTACATATTTTGTACAAATTTTAAGATACCAGATCGCGATATAAGCATGTCACTTAAAGTAATTACATTCTGTGTATCTACTCAATGACTAATTTAATTTCAGTTTTCAGCTCGTTGATAGTAGCGCATGACAATGTTTTGTGTTCAAGATGGTCATTTTAGACTGCGAAGGTGGTGGTACCGTGATATATTTTGTACGGAACTGGATATCTTCCAGAGTAAACACGAAGAATTCCTCTTCATTCTACTTTGTTCTAATCGCTTAGAAGCTGTTCTTAGTAATGTCGCAGCATACGTTGGATCCAATCCATACCCCCACGTCCTTCTATAACTGGTACCTACAGGAGCTCAAAATAACACAAGTAGGACGGCTGTCATCCATCTCGTGTTATTCATGGAACACACCAGATAAGTGGTGGTCTAGTTACGATGACCTGATTAAAATAACTAGGTAGGATTATTCCTAATTGGATTATCGAACAAGTCACTATTGGCAGTTTAATAGCACATAACAACTCAAAATAAACGGCTGTGTGATCACTTGAAACCTGAGGGCACTTTGGTTCAACCCAGCCTGCGTTGTTTCATCTAAACCGTTCATCCCGATGCGGTCCCAAACTGGAGCAAAAGTTGGTGTTTATGAAGCCATCAAAGACAAGCAAGTGGTGTGGTTGGCTGAAATTAAGGCATCGAATGTTTAGCGTCTAAGGTAAACAACGATTCTGTGTGATTTAAATTTGAACAAATTTAGTGTGTTGAAGCCTTCGACTCTGAGCCATCTGTCGAAGCGTCTTAAACAACGAGGGTAAGGAGGAGAAGGTTAGCTCTGCTAGTTGCCGCCGTCGTCTTGCATTTAAAACAACGCCAAAGGGCAAGTAAATAGTAGGATTTCTACATCGTAATTATGCTAAAACTTATAAAACTCTCAAGGGCATTACTTTCTACCGTCATTACACACCATGATGCTTCTAAACGGACAGCCAACTTTTGACGCTTACATCACGTTTCAGTCTCGCTTCGTTTATAATTAACCAATGTTCGTGATTAATTTTGCTGATATTGAAAGATCCAAATGTATCCGAAGTTCCGCATTTCTCATTTTTTAAACCAACAAGAGTGACGCAAACCGAGCGACCCTTTTGAGACTGAATTAACTTCGGATTAACTGACAAAACACTCATGAGAAAACATCACGAAAATCCGGAATTTTAAGGCATAATTTCCGGCACATGCAAACACACCAACTGTTCGCGTTTAGGCAACTTATAAGTGAACACGCATCTGTCGTGAATCGTGTTTATTCAACTCCTTAAACCGGTCGCTCCACCTCCGACACCCAGGGTTCCCCTTTTTCGCAGCATGCCACCAGCCGCGCGAATCCTCAACTCCCCTTCATTCACACGAATATGCATCTTGGAGTACCCCCACACCTAGGTCTCGATGCTAGCGTATGTATGACTCACGCATCCGAGGTATAAATATACACGCGCAAACCCCACACACGACACAACGACACCAATGTGGATGAACTCTAGAGTAAACGGTTGTGTCCACGTCCTCTCCGGGCTTTTCCTTCATCGCGGGCATCAGGAAAACGTAATCTGGCCAGAGTTAACGCAGTGGCCCCGGCGTGGTTCAAGACCACATGTCGGGGCCCACAGCACATCCAAAATTGATCGAACGTGCCATCATTATGTGTTCTTATAAATTCAAGATTCAGGTGTAAATTAGCAGTTTAGTGGTCCAGAATGGGTGGTATGAGTGAGTGATGAATTTGACCACAGCCTAGAATGCGTTGCTAGTCTTAGGCTGCTATTGGTCAGTTCCGGATAACCCTAATTTAAACCACAAGTTTGGGAAAGCTCAAGAACTCCAGTGGATCTACAAGAAGGTCGAGTACTTGCTTACGGAGTCAACTGAAATCAGTTTAGAGTAGATAAAAAAATAGTACAGTCATAGCAATCTATTTTGTGGTCTTTTCCCATATTTAAAATAAGGAAGTTCGTTCAAAAGATTCGAAAATAACTTTGTTAATATATCCTTCCACAAACCGTTATAACTTCCTTCCATGACAATCTCTAATGTTGATGGTTCTCTATTTTGATGGTGTAGCTTATTCACGGAAACATAAGGTGAAAACTAAGCAAGTTTCTATAAGTTGACAATTATAATTCAATGTTAAACTCAATGTCCGAGTTCAGGCGATAATTTCGAGTAAAGTTAGTTTAAAAGGCATTAAGCCTAGCTTGAAATTTGTTCTACTTACTGATTAAATTCATAGATTGCACTCAAACCATGCGTTTATCGACAGGCATCAGGGGTAGATTTGACTTTTTAAGTTGCCTTTTTTGCGTAAAATGAGATACTTTGACTGTAAATACATAATGAAGCAGTCCAACTTTGTCAAAATGTATCTATTCTTACACTTTTACATCACTTGGTAGGGTTTGGTAGACTATCACCGTTTATTTGGATCAGTTATCGATTTTGTAATTTGTGGCATTTTGAGTCATGCATTCGAAATTATGCGCATGAAAGAACTGAAGAAAAATCAATTCACCTCTTCACTTCTGGACGTGTCCAAGATGTGATGAAGAAGCGGTAGCTGGCGAATCCTCACCTAAGCCTTTTTATGCCTATCCAGGGAGGACCGTTTACCGTTGCCACCATGTAGACACGTATAATTAAATGTACGGAGTGCGTTTCAGGACTGACTAGCACTGTAGATTATTTCAAAAATGTAAATCACTAGTCTGGTGTGCCATCATTGCAGAATAGGCGTGGCCACACACTTAATTTTAGAGACAATGTGTTATAACTGCTTGATTCGCTTACTAAGGCAAAAGCGCTACTCCCAGGCACCAAGTCTATAATACCTTCATGGGCACATTGTACTTATGTTATCACATACTTTCAACAAGGAGAAGTGGTGTTCATAACAAAGTAATGCTAGGAACTTTGTCTACTGGGCAAAAAAATTGAAATTACGCTTCATAAACTAATCTTCGTCGCAAAATTTTAAGCGATATCCAGATAATAACTTGCTAAATGTTGGCATAACTTTGCAGAAATTGGTCATACGTCGAAGCGATGCGATTTTAGTAAAAAAAAAGCATTCTGAAACACGCTTTTAAATGTCGGACCCTCAACGCCCGCCGACTTGCCAGATATTCTTTCTTTCACACAATTTCGACAACGGCAAAATGAAATATGGTTGCGACGTTTAGCACACTGCCGTCTCAGGCACTCTTGATAATACTTTTAGCAGTCATCCGCAAGATTAAATAGGTGTGAGGCTGTCAATTTGGCTTTCAAGTTATATAAGTGGTGAGCTTTCTTACGGGTAGCTGTTGAGTGCTATGGCACCTTTTGGACAAGCACTAAAAGCCTCCGTGGTCACGCCCTACTGATTTCGACAATTATCTAACAAACCGGGCCTAATTTGCAAAGAACCCAGAAGGGGGGTCCTAATTAGAATGCGAGCTGATTTCTCCAACACTTTTGACGCCTCCGATTGATGAATCCATCAACACGAGATACCGCGTATTGTTTTTGGTTGTGGTGGCTTTAACACTGGTGCTAAAACAGTAGAGCAAACGTTTTGTGTCCGGCCTTGTTGTATTTCATTTCCTCGATGGTGTGGGCTGTAGTAGAACTTAACGCATTTCCAACTACCAAGAAGGCTTTTTTGCTATTTTGAAGAATCGTTACCAGCTACCCTGATGCCACTTAATCTTCATGCAGTAACGGTAATACAATCTCAATCAGATGCATCATTGTCACATCACGAAGACTAATTTGGCACATGATTACCTCTTGGTAGCTGCCAGACACGCGGTTGGCTCTATGCAGTCTGAATTGACAACCCGGGAGCAAGAAATTACATTTGAACAAAAGCCTAATTTAAAATCTGAAGTAATTGGGTGTTTTAGCTGTGCAGACTTGACACCAGTTAATCGGAAGGTTGATGATGAGGGAATACGGAGCTAATAATGAAAACGGATTTTATTATGCATAATTACACCGAAGCGTCAAGAAGTCTACACCAATTATGACCTGTTTTCGATACTTGTATTCAACTGGCACAGTTTTGCTTCCACTCAATTTCTGACCAAATGCTGGTGAAATTGAGTGGAAATGGGTGCCACAGCTTCTTGTAAAATAGAACTGCCTCAGTGTTATCGATCGTCCATCAGACTTTTGTCATTGAACCACCGCAGTCAGAGGTTCGTATTTCTTGTCAAATTTAGGAAAATAGTGGCTTGCGCTCACTCAAGTTTTAAAAAAGATCGTGATGATTGTGGTACAAAGTGTGAGTTGCCGTCACACAAGCGCCAACGTAGACACGTGCCTCAAATTGGAGATTCGTACACTTCAGAGGCATACAAGAATAAGACGCGAAAATGACGTGAATTAGCTGGCATTTAACAGCAGTCATTTCTCATGTTAATATCTTATTTGGGCCTATATTTCTTACATTATAATTTCTCGATAATGGCCCTAAATAAGCCATATCAATGACTCTAATGATCGCTCAAAATCTAGGGTAAGATCCCCAGATCGAGTCTTTAAATGCTGAAGTAATTATACATTGGTCATTCTTTACAGCCAGCTACGAAAAGAGCCTGTGCCCAGATATGCTGAAGGGTCAGTACAGTTTAAAAGAGCTAAGCACTAAAATGCCCAAACGCTCTGTAAGTGGGATGATCACTACCATATCGAATTTTGTGGAGTAATTTAGGGAACAAAATTACGACTAAAGCCGCTAGGTAAGCGCAATTGGCTTTCTTTTGGGTTCCAGGCACGCGCAACCAGTCAGCGCGCCCTCAACTACCACGTGGCGCGACGTCACCGCACCCACGTGGATGGCGTCTGAGCCACGAAAACGCCTAACACTAACGTCACCCTGTTGCCTCTTCTGTCAAATCCGAGGTGTGGAAAAACAGCAAATGCCGGTTGTAGTTGTAAATAGGACAGGCACGCCGTTGCCGAATATATCTGCGATGGTAAACAGGCAACCGAGTGGGGTAAACTGCTGACGAAGAAAACTTTGGAGAAATGTACAGATCCTGAGCTGACCCCTTTCGTATTGTTATTTAAGACAGGGTCAGAACATCAAATAGACTTTGAAATTGCAGGGACATCTCGGACGTATCGTGTAACCGTGTAATGAGGTTGGTGCCTAGACCTGCCTTAACCGTACCTCTCGACATTGTTTAGCAGGGCCCCCCCCCCACTTTTACACGACTTTCCTAAACTTTGAGACCGGAGACGCTAAAATCAGAAGCGTTGATTAGCGATGAGTTCTACAACAATGACAAGGCACAGAAACGCATGGGTCATGAAGGGTTGAGTGACACCCAGTAAGCCACTGCAGGACACCGCAATACCCTGAGGAAGAAAGTCAAGTTTGAATACATTTGCGTTGTTCCATTGACTCAAGTTACAGAAACTAAGAGGCTTGGAGGGGAGTTTAGAAAAAGACAAGGCTCGAGCTAATGCAGAGGAAGCTGGACACCTGAGTCTCTGCTCGCTTGGTGTACAAAAAAACATAAATACAGAGCACTTTACATTTGCGGCTTCTTACTACACATCGAGAAGCCGAGAGGTATTTTCAGCGAGGAGTAGATTGGACGATCAAACGTGGGCTCGAAGGCAGCACTCACAAATGTGTACAAAAGAGCCATAATGAGGATGCGCGACTTAACATGGATGAATACGATTTTGTGGGGCGAAATACGGTTACATTCAGGAGAGACACAGAGAGAAATTCCAGGAGCCAAGGCACCTACAAAAGCACTTTGCAACACTTCAGTCCTGCTTGCGCGACTTCGACGGCTTCGCTAAAAGCAGAGAAAGATGGGGATTACTGGCAAGGACGCCAAAATAGCGCTTCTGCAGACACGTGCGAAAGATTGTTGGCACAGCTAGGTATTCCGAGATTCGCAAAATCAAGACTACTCCATATTTCTATTTGGGCGAAATGAAGAGAGCTGCGTCAAGTTCTTGAAATAAACATATATGAACCACCGACGTTTTTGAGCACATAATATTTGAAAATAAAGGCGCACATCGCAATCCTTTCTTTGCTAAATTATAATAAAACAAAAAACGTTAAAAGCAGAAACCTATTCGTAAGGAAATTTTTTCTCCGTTTGCTACATCAAAATCAATTCGGGGAAGCAACCGCGATCTTGGAGGAAAAGCTCACTTACCGACGGTAGGTACAGCACGAGTTTGCTTTGGAGGTTGTTGATTTTTCTTATTCTTGGTTTTGTCCTTTTTTGTTTTACGTTTTTGTTCGGTAGATCCCACTCGAATAATCATGACAGAAAGCAAGAAGACGATGAGGACAACACTGAGATTGACTGCATAAAAGTAGTAACGGCCCCGGACATCAAAGTTGCGCAATATAGGGTACGTGTAAAAGTTTTGCTTGGTAATAAGAAATTCAGTACTAAAAACACCGGCAATAAAGGTGGTATTCGCATAGCTTACTAAGCAGCGTAGCCCCCAAAGTAACCGAACACCAGAAAAAGTGTTTTTATAAACGGTACTCGTGGCAGTCGAGAACAGATGATATCAAAAAGAATTGAAATGGTCATAAGACTATGCTAAAAGCGGAACATTAAGTAAGTAGGTCAAGATACCGTCACATGCATGTGCCATCGTGGATATATTTTCAGATACTCTTCTCGTATAACCAGCGACGCATCAATGAAATACAAAGCCCAAAATACCACCGAAACCGACTAAATGGAAGAATTTTAAAGGATATGGCAACGTACTGCAGAGGCTGTCAGAGACAGGCAAGCCATAGAACTCTTGAATTTGCCGCATTTAGAAGGCAAAATGATAGCCAAAGCGTAGTACAAAATTTGTAGAAGCTGGAAGGTAACTATATATATGGGAAAATACCAGTGTGATATTCGTTAGATATTTGGTTACATGGATTACGTTATCCCTAAGTGGAACACCAGAAGGACAAAGCGTAAGTGTCAAATAGGCAGCGTAGCCGTAGCCAACAAAACAAAGCAGCCTATGGCAAAAAGAGAACACACTGGACCACAACATGTTGAACACGCAATAGCAAACTTGCAAATTGATGCTTAACTGGTATATTATAACAAGTTGTACGACATGACGATACTTGAGAGAGTAGATAATTTGTAATAAAACTATATTTCATAGGTATATAAATATTTTAATGGTAAAAAAATTGTCAATTTTGATGCTGTGATTGTTCACAATCTCTAAACCATTAAATTAAAATTACAAATTTCCATTTTACGTCATTAACAAGCACTTCCAAAAATATATTTACTTGTTATTTGTTGTTTAGTGATAAGTTCTTAAGGAATTTGCTCTAAATTACACCATATTTTCCTCAAATTAAGCACCATCACGCGTTTGTTAAAGTAATTTATTCAACAAGTGCACTAGACACTTACCGTAGAATTATTGTATTCATGCCAAAAGAAAATTAAAAAATATAATCAGTGATTGATATTCTTAATGACAATTCAGGTATTTCTAATACTCAGATTTCGTCATAATTTTCGGTTAGTAAAAAATCAATCCAGAATATTTGAATAGAATTCAACTAGGTTACTCGCTATAAATCCTACACGGAAGATTAAAATGAGGATTTGCAGTTTTTCATGGATTTTTGTCTTTCGATTTAATGACCCAATTAGGGATGCATTTTCCAGCCATAAAGATAGTTTAGCGTGTGAGCAGAGATCCTGCCTGAGAGAAGAGATGGACTACTTGTTAGTCGGCACGAGAGGCAAGATCCAAACAAACACACGGTACGGCATGAGACCGAAACGAGAAAATTCCTGAAGCGTTTATTTAGAGAAAGATTACAGGATGAATAAAGCGAAAAATTGGACCAAACTGACGACAGATTTTTGGGGACGCACTAAGTTCCATATACTAACTTTTGGGCAGGCCAGTCATGAATGGCGTTCGATGACAATAGTTCTTATTAACATTACCGCTGTATTCGTACTACTCTATGTAAACTTGATAGTCAAAACTATGATAGAGCACAAATCTTCAATCTAAAATTATTTTTATTATAATCTGATTACTTAAAATGTCGAAACCTTTTTAGCAAATGCTCAAAATTTAATTTTAACTAGTTTGCACAAAAATAAATATGTTTGCATTATTGCTCGTTTTAGGAATGACTCCAACTTTGATCTCGCTGTATCCTTGTTTAAATAAGTACTGTTTCTTCTTGGTCCTTGGCCGGAGCATGCGTGACAAGTGGCGTAAAAAACGCGTTAGGCGATTGAAGCGAAAACGGAGGAAGATGAGGCAAAGGAGCAAGTAACTGTCTGTACAGCTTGTTTTATCATGAATACTGAAATATGGCTATGTGTTGAGTCTTGCTTTTGGCTGAATTTGAGGTGTTGGCTTGTAAATTGGGGCGTTGATCCGCCTTCTCGAATAACTTGTCTGCGTTATACCTTGTCAGGGTCTTAGTTGGGTACGTGTCGTAGTCTGTGCCTGCATTAGTGGTGTGCAATTTTTTGTCTAGCTCTAATTCGTCGCGTCATTTCAATGCTCCAAGCTATTGTAGCCTTATGTGCCGTTGGTCGTGTGCAGCCGTCGGCTTGACGATATTTCGTATATTTTGGACCTTTCTACACGTTTGTCACACTAGCAGAACTATCTGTGTCCCGTGCATATCCCTAGGCGTCGATATGAATGTGGTAGGTTAATTTGTCGCCCTGGGCTGCACTACAATCGTAAGTTCGTACTTGTAATAGTGTGCAGCTGACGCTTAGCGGACTCGGCTTTCTTCATTTTCCTATGGTCCTGCTATTGCGTTAAAAGTTGAACTTTATGTTCATTGAAAAACCAACTAGGCTATAGTGTCAAGCGGACGAGTGATCATCACAATGCCATAAAGTCATACTCGTGTATGCTCGTAAGTATTTTCGTCCAGACCACATTGGCTGTGCCAATCTTGCGTCTAGTGGTTACATGTCACCAGTCACTCATTGAGGCCATTGGCATAGATCTGCTGCCTATGCGAGGTGGCATCTTCAACCCTTTCAGGACGGGCCATAGTTTAGGGTTTCACCTCATTTGGCCCACACCGTGACATTTGTCTTCCATCAACAACTTGAACGTCCATTGGGTGATGAGTGCTTATTCTGATGTGTCCGCGTTTATCATTCGGGCTTTGTCAATTGAATGCGCCGATATATACTGCCGGCCCAGAATGGAGCGTCAACGCAGCTTTAGTAGCTTCCGTGAAGCTCATGATCGATTTAAGGTTCCCTAAGTACCTACTTGCAATTTACAAAACCAGTTATGAAGATATGACGATTAACCTAGCGTCACGGCTGCGCAAATTGACGTCGTGGTAAACCTGGTGAAAGTGCGGCGTGTCTAACTGGACAGTTCCACGCACTCGCTGGCTTTGCAGTAGTCGAGATTTAGTAATGGGGGAAATGGTAAAAAAGCAAGCAGTATAAGTTGGACTTTCTGATTCGTTCACGCACGCACACACGAGCGGGTCAAGAGATGCGAGGTGTCCACATACACCTTTTGGTTTTGTATGAAATGTAGTCTAATTCTGAGTACGAGGTTAGGCAGCAGGCACACAGCCAAGACTAAAAAGCCCACTGATTTATGACCTGTATTTTAAGGGGAGGAATTCTGATATGCCGACGTTTAGTTTGCATAACACTACTAAGTAATTCTAACCTTTCCTTTGGCTGACTGTTCCAGTTCTCGTTGTAACTCCGTTCGAGTTTGCTTCCAACACAAACGGTGCCCACAAAATGCCATAATTAATCGCGAATACTACAAATATTTGTTTTTTGATCAACGTAAATCAACGCCAACTGCTTGGGAAAACGGTCGGACGTTCTTTAGTATTCCAGACTAATTACTGAACCCGGTGTGTATCTAAGTTTGCAGCCCTCAAGCCTAAAGTGTTAATCAGAACTGGAGTAATAGGTAAATTAAGGCTGACACCGTAAACGTTCACTCATGTGCTACGAGCAGCAAACCATACCTCTCGCAAGACATTTATGTAATCGCCACGCTACATTTGCCAACAACTCCCACGACATGAGTCGCCTACCTCCAATACCAACCGACCACAACCTTTGTTCACATCTACAAAGCACGTAGATCCTGCCCCTTGCATAGTTAATGCAGCATACCAAATATGACCGTCAGCAACACCGCGCTACGTCGTCCAGTTAATCGCTAGTCTATCATTGTTGGCCTCCTCAAAAGTCTACTTAAAGGTTAATTAGAAAGAGCCAACTGATTCAGCACAACAGGAAGTTAGAAATATAAAGACTTTTTCGACAGATTTCCACCAAGTTACACGCAAACGCTAACGTTTATACATGGATTGACCAGTTAGCTTCTATGTCAGGGCTAAAAATTAAGCCAACCACAAATCAATATAGCGTCACACAAGCACATGCTTATGGAAACAGTGTTCGACGTTACTATCACTAAGATTGATTCGGAAACGTGAAGAACGATCACCTTTTAAAGCATTTCAACCCATAGTAGTGTGTCACAAAAACAACCATTTGTTTCCTCGTTAATCGTAGCACAATAAGGGTAGCGCATCATTTTCCCTTTAAGGCTTGCAAAATTTGAACAAGAACTTAGTACACAAGCCTCATAGATGCTAACATGCACATAGCACAATTTGCCCATCAAATTGTTAGAATACACCCGCATAACAATACATAAGGGTAGGATTCCTGAGAACCACAGAGACCACGCCTAAATCATTAGTTAAAAAGCACATATTGAATTTTTTCGTTGCCAAGGCCCAATAACACCCAATACTATCGCAAACATTCATCCTACATAATTTCTTAGACACCAACTACTATCCACTACAAAAATCAAAACAAAATATATCCATGTGATTTATTCGATAGAGTGTGCATCAAGACAACACAATTTACTTGCTCCTTTGCCTCATCTTCCTCCTCTTGCGCTTCAGCCGACGAACGCGCTTTTTCCTCCACTTATTTCGCATTTTTAATAACCGCGGTTAGAAAATTGCAAGCAGATGCAAACAAGATCTCCTATATTCAAGCTGAGTCTATTTCAAAATACATTGATCATTTTAATTAAATATATTTATACACGGTAACATCATTTTCGCTATTTTTCCGAGAAGTTTTTAATTTAGTTTTACTGTATTTGCATATACGGCAGGAGCATTTAACGCTTGGTAAGTGCCTATAAGCCTTCATTGGGCAATATTGAAACTTCGGTGTCGATTTGGAAAAAAATGCCAGTTTTATATTTTTTAAGTCTTTTGAATGTGCAAAACTGATGTCAGAATACTTTTCCAAAGTCATAAATATCACTAGGAATAAATAACATTAATTCTTCATTTGACTTGTATAAATGTTGCATTAAAAAGCGGACTTTTCTTTTTTTTATCTACGACAATATCGTAAATGGATATCATTTAAAAATTTAATCTGTGATTGTTGCTTCACTAAACTACTCTTTTGAACGTTGACTAGTTTTGAATCTAAACCTCAGCTATATTTACAAAATCTTTTATTCCATAAGCCACAGGGCGGAGTTTATAATGTACAAAATATAATCTTTGAGCAATTTTAACTTACCCAGTGTCGCAAGACAAATATTGTGGTAAGGAAAATAACTGTGAGCTGATTAATTAATGATTTTTTTAGATAGCTGCATTTTTGACAAACATGCTTTTGCGTGTAGAAATAGTCTAGTACACTCGTTTAGATATAAATAATGAGTAACGTACATATGTTTGTTACAACTAGCTTCTTAGGTTGCATATACATGTTGAACCCCCTACTATGAGATTACTCAGAACATTCGACAACGTTCATGTTATCCATAACAAATGACATCACGACAATTAGTAGAGTAATGAATAAATATAGGCAAAAAATATAGGTGTACTGCTTTGCACACTTAAAAAAATTCGTCATGATCACTGCTCGTTTAATTTGCTAATTGTTGGCGACTCTTGTGAGAATCCAAATATCAAACAACGTACTAATAAGGAATAAAACATTGCTGTTGAACTCCGTCAGCCAATTAGAGTTTCAGTAAACAGAACAAGGGACAAAATAACCATAATTTGACATTTTAGTTTCGGAATGGATTATTTTTAAAATCCGTAGCGTTTTGCGGTTTGGAGGATAGAGATATGGTAAATATAACAGCAGTGGTCGATGTCCATTCTAGAGGACTTTTCAGGGTTTCCTTTTTTTCTAAGCGACCATCATCTAGTCGTCTAGTGATTGCAGGCGTTTGCCAAAAGTTCTTGGGACTTAACTCGGCTTGTATTTTGTTAAAGAATTCATTGATGTCAAATTACATGAATTTGATGCCACTTTTATTCAATTATTCACCTGAGGAAGGCGGTATTATATTTAATCAACACTCAGACATCAGAAAATCACTTTTCAGTTCTATTTATGAAAAAAATTCCCTACTTGCCTTCATTGAACTGCAAATCACAGGATTAAAATTTACAATACTTTTTGGGATTTTCTGAATGTGCTAGCTGAGTTGTATTGTTGGTGCTTGGTTAAAATGTTGAATTAGTCTCCATGGTGAAGTTGTGGTGAATGGGTTCCTCTGAGTCGGCGATACATGCGCTAACAGAAGAGGTAAACACCACTTGAGGTTCTTTTTAGTTTCATTGACACTACTTTGTTAACCAACTTTACGTGTCTAAAACCGAAAGTAATATCGTTGTATTGCTCAAATTCAAAACAAGCTCTCCTAGTTTCAAAGTCATTGACATTATAGTCTTGATTGTAGGAGAGGTAAGGATCATTCGTTGGTCTTGTAACCAACAAACTACAGAAGTATCCCTACCTTCAACCGAAATTTTTGGTTCGGAATTGTAGCGGCTTTAAGCAGCTGTGTAAACAACAGTTCCTCATTGGTCAATTTCAATAGGTTTAAAAAATCTAGTTATAAGATCCAGTCTTGAATATCCACCATATGAGCGAATGTTGTAGATATCAATTTAAAAATAAACAAGCAGATTCGCGTTCTCGATGGTGAAAAGTTTTAGGCAGCAATTGAACCGTCGCTGTCCACTGAACATGTCAGTCGGATACCGCACTGGCATCACCTTTTCCTAAAAAAGGATCACACCATCTTTAGCCTGTTTTTTAGTTTTTCATTTGGCAAAACAGAGCAAATAAAAACAGAGACTACCCACAAACGAATAATTTCAATATAAACACCCACTGTGGAGGTTTAGACTTACTTAAACATTAATTTTAGAGAAGCTGGTCGGGGTGGCCCCAGCCGACAAGCGCCTGAACATCTGCTACACGTGCATACCCATTTGATCCACAAAACTATTACATTTTGAAAGCCAGCACAACCAACATATGTGGTTTAAAAGGCAAGTTGAGTTAAAAGTTTGCATGTATGAATTCAACAAAGACAAAATCAGAGTTTAGACAAAGGAGGAACCTTAATTTTTGCATGAAGCAAGGGTTACGCAGGCCTATCGCAGCAAGACCGTTGTCAAAATAGATGAGAATTGTGCTGACTAAATTTACATAGCCCAATCCAATAAAGATAGATTTGATGGTGCGATCCGCTTCCGCGGAAACTCTATGTCGGTGCAGTAATCTGCTGATGTGTTCAGGTGGTGGAGACGGTTCAGGTGCTGCTTGAGACCTTTCAACGTCGAAAACGCGATCCTTCTTGGCGGATATTCAAGCAATGGAAGGATGAGTGACTGCTCACTACACATCCAGCATCGTTTTGCCCTGTGGCCCACGGTTAGCAAAACTGGGGACACAGGGCTAGGGCTGCAACACCAAATTTTAGGAGTTGATGGCAAGCGACGCAAGGAATACGCATTCTTATAACAAATTCTAAATATAAATATTGGCGTTCTCATCGTCTTTAAGACTCTTGTGTGGCAGTAAACGTAAAACGGTACAGAAGGGACTGCGTAGTTCTTGAAGGAAATTTGAATGCTGTCTTAGTCAAGCAGCGAATCCAAGTTCCTTGTTGCTCCACAATTTCAAAGGTAACGCGACCCATCTTAGCTAGTCGATGAAACTAATCAATTAGTCGACACAGTATTTTGACAATTTCAATGACCTCTGGTCAAAAACGCACTGATTGGCATGGCCTAAACCACCATGTCTTCTAATTTACCCTAATTCTGTTACGTTTGCCCGTAGCAATACAGAAGACCACTCAAATAACGGTACCAGATCCCTTGCTGAAAGCTAGAACCGACCTTCCCAGGCTAAATACCAGAACAAGAGCAGAGCTCGATTAGAGAGCTTTATTAACGTCAGCCACGTGCAGAGAAGAAGTGAAATCGAAAGTGAAAACGAAACTAGTTCAAGTCAAGGTTGACCTTGACTTGATAAAAGCGTTACAAAACAAATGTTAATAAATTAATGTAAATAAAATCAGAAACCAATCTTGGGGAATCGTGGATCCCCAGGTAATTTAAAAAACCACTGTCATACGACTCGTCAGCCGCCTTTCAATCTAGCGTAATTTTAAGAGCAAATCTGATTAACAATCAACGACTTTTATTTAATTTGAAGACTAACTGTAGCTAATCCTCTCACACAACAGACACGAAATTCTGACACCAGACCTCATTTACGCTCCATTCGGTTCAGATCAAGTGCGACACTGACCTTCCACCACCACCAACAAGAAAGTCATCTACAGAAGATTGCCCTTTTTCAATGTGGTTTTGTAGACAATTCCTCTTTTACCCTACAGATAACCCGACCCGCGATTCATCATGCACCTTGGCTTATCGCGGCGTAAACTTCCTCAGCGCGCTTTTTTTTAAAGAGGCAGCTTGAGCGGCTGGTGAGAATGGTTTTTTTCTTTTTCATTAAAAAACTCTTATGCTTAACACAGACTCAGGTCCGGAGCAGGCAGCAATTTGCAGCACAAAGAGGGTGGTGAAATGTGGCTCCAGAATTGCTGGACGCGAAAGGCGGCACAAACACAGCAGAAGTGGTGGGTTCAGTGGTCATCGATTGCTCGATCTCCGGCACCTCCCTGTGCTAGCGCAGGGAGCAGATGGAGACTGCTTTGTCTAAAGAGTAGAAGGGAGACACTCATCCTACCGCCTGAGTCGATCTGTCCGACCAAACAAGGCGTTCGTGTAATTCTAACCTGGCGTGGACGCTACAGCCTACCTGACCAACTGCAGTGACGCGTTAAATCTCACAAACCGGACCTAAAGGCTAACTAAACGGGGTGTAACTGGTTCTACTCCAAATTTGAACCCCGTAGTGTAGTGAAAGTTGACTGGATTTACACACTTGGTCAGGTAACGGCTCACGGACTATAATAAATACCACATTAACAAGCCTTCAAAGCATCACCTTTCAATTCTGTTAGAAGTTGAATTTGTCTGCTAGTCACTTGGATAAGACGTTCCGTGTAGTCTGAAAAAAATTAGAGGCACACAAAGATCTATGGCGGCGTAAATTTATGCAGAAGTCGATATCAGATAGCCTTTACCTCTCGACCGCGACTTGGTCCGACGGAGCATTTTTCGGTGGGTGTAGAACCACTGGGGAAGTGTCTTGGCAGGCGGCAACAAAAGAAGGGGAGTTTGGTCATTTAGATTTTAAAAAATACTTTTTTTAAAAAAAAAGGACTTGCGTATGTTGGAAACAGTGAAATCGGGTTTGATTTCCATAAATTTGCACAAACCTATCAAGTGACTGCTAAACGCCGCTTGTGACATTTGCCGTCCCCTTTTGTTCTACTGTACTGGCTTTCTTGGAGCACCATTTAAAGTCCCCAATTGTGACGCGCGCCATTCGACCCACGCACGCCGGTCTGGCCTGTTCTTTGTCCTCCTCTCCCCTCCCGCACACTCGCCTTCCTCAAGGCACGCCCGTGAGTCCGAGGACAACTCCGACCCACCTCGCAGCCATCCCTTTCCCCACTCCAACTTTCCCTAAGCTCTAGCCCTCTGAGCTTGTATGCGGTAGTATGGAATACATCCGGTTCTTCCAGCTATTCTTCTATCGTGTGCCTGGTAGCTAACCATGATGGTGTGGCCATCTAAGAGGGGCGGGCTAACAGTCGTCCCCCTTTTGAGGTCCCCGGTCGGTAATAGGCGCGTTACATTTTGGTGGCGGCGGTTACCCTCTGATGTTTCATACCCAGCATCAGAGTCGACCTCACTCCCCTCGCAACACTCAACTCTCCCCCACACGCTCCCTTTCCCTCTGCACCACATCAATCCTCGCTCAATAGACGCGTTACACAATTGTAGTAAGGGCTCTATTTGTTGTACTCATTTACCGCTTACTCCATTTAGTGTCGTAATGGTTATTGTATAGGCTAGCAGCTATTGAAATCCACCGTAGCAGGTTGTTTTTGCAGCTTTTTGATTGCAGCGCGTAAATCCCATGTCCCTTGCACCGGCATTTTTTACACCACAATTGTTATTTGGCACAGACAGTGTGACGCATTACAAATGGCGGACTCACCTTCAACAACTGCCTGTGTAGACCGACGAGCTCAGAAAAAGGCCCGCGTCGTTCTCGCGCCCCCTCGCCCGACTCATCCCCAAATGCCTACGGAAAAAAAACAATTTCTTCGCATTTATAAGTAGAGGTGCGAAGCAAGATTGCAATATTTATGAAAGAAAAATACTCGAAAACTCAGGAAAGAGGGTAATGAATCACCTCAGTCTCACTCACATCCCAGTCGTAATTACTGGAACTATCATCGTTAGCGCAAAAACTTGGTGAAGACTTGGGAAAGCCGGAGTATGTGGACATACGGGATACACGCGTGGAGCGCCGCGGCCAGCCCTCCAGCGAGGGCAGCTCTTTGACTAGCTGCGCGTAGCGCAGGGTGTTGAGGGTGTAGTCGGCGCAGCTGAGGGCGGGCGAGACCATGGCGATCATGCAGGTGCGAGAGCGCGATCCCAGAAAGGACTCTCGCAGGACCTGGACACACACAGAAGAGTGCTGCTTCAATCGGGCGACATTGGTGCGGAAAAGAGGGTTTTTTTTCGCCTAACCTGCGTTAGTTTGCTGTTGCGGAAGGGAAGGTGTTGCACCCTGCGACGCCCCATGGCGCGGATGCACTCCTTCAGGGCCAGCAGACTCTTGTTGATCTCGCCGCACTCTATGCGCGTTTCCTTGTCTGCGTCGCCGCCTCGCTCGTTGCCCGCCAGGTCGACCAGGGAAAAACGACCAATGATTGAGTCTGCTAGTCGAAGACTTATCTGCAACCAGAAATCAGGTGGTGTACTTGGTCAACGCCTGGGCCAACTCTCATGTCTATCTGTAGGGCGTAGCAAGAAAAGTTTTCTTCTTAATCACCGCATTCCCCCAAAAAACCGGCTGAATCGGAGGTCAGATTGACGTAAGTGTACTAGCCGAAGGATCAAAGTACCACAATCAAGATTTCACTGATGATAACTGAACACAGTGGGTTACAGGCATCGTGCTTGAAAATTCCACTTGACCTGGAATACCTGAAAGACTGCGTGTGACCGGCTGGAAGTGACGTTGAGGGTGGTGTGGCCGGTGACGCGGAGTCGAGAGCTGCGTCGCAGCAAGTCCAGCGTCTCCTCGGAGGTTTCCACTTGAACCTCGCTGAGGCCGACCAAGTGCACGGACCCACTCGCGTCCTCCAGCACACGCACCAAACTCCGTCCATTAAGCAGGTCGTAGACCTTTTTTGGGTAACACAAAACCCAAGTAAAGGTTAAATTGTAACCACGTTTTCAACAAAGCTTTGATACATGTTTTCATGTGAGTTGCTGAGTTAGGGAAATTACCAGACGATGTTTGTTGTAGCATTCGAAATCCTGTGTAATCGTTGACATCCCTGAAGCTTATTAATACAAAATCAACAACCGACCGATGATGGTGTGAATAACCGGGACGTGTTGGATGAGATCAGCTCGCACAAATGCAAATTAGCTTAAAAAAGTGTACAAACAGTTAAATCACAGAATAAAATAAGGAAAAAATTACTTTATACAATGATAAACTGTAATGTTTTGACCACGGTTAATGGAAATGTACATAATAACGACGTAGAAAGGTGTTGGCACAGCGCTAATGTTGTGGAGTTAATCGTTCAGGAAAGAGGTTCAATAAAGTAGTTACGTAACGAAGCCAACGTTTGTGATGCTCTCCTAACGTGTTCCACAAGTTATCATGTTAATACCTCCTTACTGTGTTTGGACATGTCAAAGCTTTAGAGGTTACATAAAGTAAAGACGACAAGGGCAGTTCTTAGGCAAGCGGATTAACATCTTGTTTTCTAGATATCACAAGAAAGGAAACAAATAATTCAGTAAATAAATTCCACCAAGCAGTAATTGAACTCACTCGGTTGCAGTAAATTTCGAAGAATGCCACAGTAACGGAGTACCCATTGCCGTCTTCTTGACTTCGCAGTCGCTCGAAGACGTCGTTTACTTAATTAAATGCACTAGACACATTAAATGGGAGTTTCTTATGCGTAAATGTGGAAGACAAGAGGAGAATTTGCTTCAGTTCGCTTCAAAACGCCTTTGTAATTTACGCAATAACTAACCAGTTAAACTGATCATTTACATTTCAAGACGTGATATTGGTGCTGCATTTTTCCAATCTGTGAATTTTTTGATGAAAAAAATCCTAACAAAGCCTGGTCTGAAAGTGACCACATGAACGTCAGATGCTTGACTACTCGAAGATGGAGAGGCAGCAACTCACCAACCATTCCATAGAGACCTCTGTCAAGAAGCCGGTAGCAGTTATCGGGTCCAACTGGACCGCTCATCGTAAAGGTCTTGCCCGACCCTGTCTGCCCATAGGCAAAACACGTTGCCATGAATCCGTGAAAAATTGACCGCAATAATGGGGCGGCTGTCTTTCGATAGATCTAGGAAAACACGGATGATGTTCCTGTACTTAACATTCAGCAAGTATTTTTGGGAAGTAAACTACATCTCTAATGAAGCGTAGTTTTAGTCCCCGTGTTTTTGCCAACTTGCTTTGGTGATTCATTCATATTACTAAAACCGGTCGAGCCCACTTGACTTAGTGTAACCCCCTAGTTCTTACAGAATCCACATGACTTTTGTTCGTTTAAAAATAAATCGTAAATCATTTGCACTCGATAATCTAATAGGAGAAATAATTGAAATCACATCAATAAACATTGAATTAAGAAAAATGAAAGAAGAGCCTATCACGACCAATGTAAATACTGTCAGAGTGTGAGTCAAGAGATTAATACTTAAAATCAGTTAGACACACCTCGTTAGTGGACGTCGTTTCATCGAATGTGTGATCCAGACGAAAGGTATGAGATTCAACAAATTGGCTTAAATCCACCAGGTAGTGTGGTTCGCTCACGGTTACGTGGCCAGGGACTGATACGTCCACGATATCTGGGTCACTCTGACTGACCTCTGGAAGTATTAAACATGTTCGCCGGAATTTTAAAATGAACTAATTAATTGAAAAACATCAATACTATACCTTTGAGGCTCAGAGGCCGTTTCCGAACGCAAACCTGAATTCGTGGACATGAATCATCATCTCTGTGAGACATGTGGCCGTTATTCGAAACATCATTAGAGAGAATACCCGATTTAAAAATTGTCTTTGAATTCTCATACTTGAAATCTTCTGAGCTAGAATCATCGTCAAGTCCACAGTCCCAGTACAGTCTCCCGTTCTAATGATAAAGTGGACAGACGTCAGAAAAAACATAATATATTACATTGTACGTTAGGGTTTCATTGATTTGCAACAGTGCTGGAATTGAAAGCTAACAGTAAGCTCTAGAAAACTACCATACAAGCTTGCGCCGTCCTTTACCGTTTTCCTTCCATACTACCAAAGCTGAATTCTTCTCAGGACAGTAGCTTTTCAGATAACCATTTTGAAATGTGCCTAAGAAATTTTTTTATTTTAAAAAAGTAGAAAGAATACCGCTAGAACGCACAATCTTTACAATCAGTGGCTTTGAGCTATCAATGAAATTCATTTTTTGAAGCTGTGGGTGTTCACATGATGGTATTAACAGAACGAACAAACAAGCCGCAAAAGACAGTTTAACGCGAATGGACAAAAGAATAAAATATTACACTAATTTAAAAATTATTCAGCTTAAACTTAATTGTCAAAAATCAAGTCGTTTATCACCTCGTGACCAGTCTAATTGCCGAATATTTTGGCAAAAATGAAGCAATAGTCTTTCGTCTAATAAATTATTCCAACAAAATGAACAAATGCTTAAAAACGTTAAATCTATACAGCATGTACACTGAATCGCAATTTGAAGTGTCAACATTTTGCTCACTAACGAAATTCAAACCAATGATATCACGTTCATTGTATGTTATTCATAAAAAGCTTAGGGTTTTGTGTCTTGATTGTGCCAATCTTGGAGGCAACCGTAAACTTCAAGTTGAAAAGACTGAGTCCTAAGTTGCATTTTAGCTGTGTTAAATAAGTGACGAGAAATTATATGAATAATTCCAGTTATTTTATGGCAAAGAACTTAGATTGACAAAGATTGCATTTAAAAAACTTAAGGTTCCTGGTACAGAGTGGTACTGCTTCGTAGATTTTATATTATTTGGCTTAACAGTATATTTTTTTATAATTTTAAATAAGGCAATCGATTTTTCTATACTTTTACTTTACAACTTCCCTGCTTTTACATATCGATTTATTGAAAGGTATTTTGTTGATAGTGATTTCAAGCGAAAATTAAAATAAAGTGAAATCATTCATGATTATCATCATCGCATATTTTGTTATTTCCAGTAGTGTAAATTTAATTAAAGTTTTTAATGGTTTTGTTGAGTCTGTAATAGAATTATGGAAAATCGGTCGATTCCGGATTGTTTCAGTTTTCACAAGCTAGATAAACTTTATTGGAATCGGTTGCGCTAAAGTTGTTCAATAGAAGGTTGGAAAAATCCCCTATTTCTAAGCAGGAAACAGTGATTATGGTCTATATTCATATAAATTTCAAATAAACCAAATGCGTTGATTTCACACAAAGGTAAAAGTTAACCAAAATTTTTAATGGTTATGTTGTGGGCCCCAGCATGTGGTCTTGAGCCACGCCTGGTCCACGGAATTTATCCTGGCCCGATTACGTTTTTCTTATTCTCGCGATGAAGAAAAAGACCGGAGGGGACGTGGACACAGCCGTTTACTTCAGAGCCCAACCACGTTGGTGTCGTGTGTGGGGTTTGCGCGCGTGTATTTATACCCCGGATGTGCGAGTCATACATACGCTAACATCGAGACCTAGGTGTGGGGGATGTTCCAAGGTAAATATTCGTCTAATAAAGGGGTAGTTAGGGATTCGCGCGCCTGGAGACAGGTTGCAACAAAAGGAATCCTGTGTCGGAGGTGCTGCGACCGGATTAAGGGGTTGAAACAAAACGATTCACAACAGTTATTTCTAATATCCATTGCAAGCAATATCCGCATATTATATAGGTTTTCCTAATTTATTCGTAATATGTCTCTTAATTAGATTCTAACTCACACTCTTTTTATTACGAAGACGCCAAGATGTTCAACTTATTACATCAAGTAGTAGGCGTCCATTTTAATTACGTATGCAGATATCAGGAGGCTAGTCAGTGTTTGGTGTGACTTAACTCGGTTTTAGACTATTATAAAACAAAAAAAAACAAATTATGTGTGTTTGCAATTAATTTTTATTCGATAGTACAACGTTGATTTTTAGTTTGAATAATTTTGCGAATTGCTGCATTCCAAAAATTTTATTTTTAAGATTTATACTTTTTATTTTGTGTTACCAATCGTCATAATATTAGCCGTCCACTTTTAATCGGCTCATTTATTTACGCCCTTTGTTAGTAGGCCCACCTAAAAGCACATTCGGCCTCTGCTGAGAATGGACATGTCTTGACCTGGTATAAGTCGCTGACTCATCAGTGTGTTGTGGAGAAGTTGCGGACCAGCTTAACAAAAGGGTTTGCCAATATGTGTTCAATAATTCTCATTTGAATTCCGGTAAACCCTGACACTCCATTTTTTCGATTTTCTGTCGATTAGCACAATGTAAAGTTTTTATTCACTTACGAAATTGCACAATGGTAGCTTGATTAAGCAAATAGTTGCTACAAAAATTAAAAGGCTGAAATTTTTTAAGCATAACCAGTTGCGGAACGATGTGTGTGTAAATCTTCAACACTACCGAAAAAAACTTGATCATGAAAATTCTAAAAATATAGAATGCACTACCAAAAATCCTCAACAAATCAGACCATTCCCACATGGTCTTCTTTTAATAACGCTAAATATCATCATAGAGACTGCATAAACCTATCCTTTATGTCATTATCAGAAATGCCTCAGAAAACATGCAAACTATTGATAAGTACATTTTTGACTCTTATGTGCTTTTTAAATAGTGACAGCAAAATGGACCAGGAACTGACCATTTTTAAGATATATTATTAATTTTAAAACCATTAATGAAGCAATTGAGACAGGTGATCATTCTGATGGTGCAAAAAAGATAACGACTTTTTATGCTCTAGTGGCGAAATTTAGCATTCTTGTAAGAATTTTTGTCTGTTTTCTAAATGAAGAAAAGCATTTGGTAGTGTTTCGTGCTGCCAAACTGTCAGATACACAGATTTTTATGACCACATATTTGAAAGCAATCCGCCGTGAAGTCAAAGCTAATGTCGGTTAGATTGAAAAACCGATGGGATTGCATCACATTAGCCATGTCAAGTATCGATTGATTTGTTATTTCAATCTCCCAAATTCATTCAACATTTACTACATTTGACAAATTGGGGGGCCGAGGTAGCAGTCAATCTTAAGCGTTTATTTACTAACATTTGACACTTATCAAAGGTATGAAAAACTTCTTTGAAATAACTCGATTCACTTATTAAACTGCTAGGATCATCACAATAATTTTAAAAAACCCATTACAAGCTATGCTTTTTTAACAGAAGGCTTTCGCCTCATTTGTTCTTCCCATCAATTAATAAAATGCTATCTAACATTCCAATCGGGGAGGTCATTTTGTAATATTTTCATTGAAACTACCTTAAACCAGTAATGTAGGCCATAATCGACGCTTTGTATTTGCTTATTGTTTTTTATGATATTTATACACAAGCTGTTTAAGAGTTGATAAAAATTGTTTCTGCGATTTGTTTATACATTCCTATTATGTTTGCTCTGAGTCCAGTCGTTTTTTTAATTCTAATGGGCTTCGTGTTGGTCACGAGGTCTGCCATTTTTTTCGGTCGGCAAACTCAGAGGCAATTTTTGCGATTTGCTTCTGACTTTAATCCAATTTTTTCTACTGATGTCAATCAGGTAAATAAGTACCAAGCCTATACAGGTGGTCAATGTTATTCCTTTAAGTTCCTCATGTACAATCTTTGCGTTCTCTTGCGTTGTGCAACTTTGTGCGTAGAAACTTGTTCTGAAAATCGGGAAATTTGATCTTTGAATAAGATATGTTCTGTTTCGGAGTAACAATTCAAAGTGCTTTTACATTGTTTGTAATCGTTGCTATAATATTTCCTTATTCGTTACGGGTCCCTATGCTTGTTAGTATCTTGGCGTCAGTTTTGGTCATGTAGTTCCTAAAATAAAAGGCCTGTTATTAATCGGGATACTGTCATATGTAGTGGCGATGATAGAGGCAGTCGTGCTAAGAATAAGGATAAACCTTGACAAATATCAGCATCGTTTAATTATATTGTATCTAACTGGTCCTTAAAGATTAGGACTATTTATGCCTAGACATTTTCAAGACTTTTTTTACTCTTTTTGCTAGTGTGCGTCTTTACCACTTTGCTTAATTTCCGTTAGCCTATCGCCCAAAATTCTGCAAGTCAAATTGAAAAGTTAAAGGCCGTCAGAAAGCACCTAAAATTTAAGACTTGTTAAATTTGATAAAATACGGACTCTTCCTTTGATTAACACAATTTTGGCACCCAGGTCTGCGATGCGGGTTCGTTCGAAACTGAATAAACGTCTGCAAGATTGGGCTTTCACTTGCCAGTAGCAGCACGGAAAAACTTTACTTTGATGTCATGTCATTTTTTTTATGAAACCTATCTTTTATTAGGACGTGTGCTATTATTACTTAGTAAAAAAGTGATTCTTAATGTAGTCCTTTTTGTGATAACCCATGGTGGGATGTGCGTTTGTTTTCCGAATTTCGTCGCTGCCATGTCGTGACGTATGGTGGGTTAATTTACAACCGCAAACTCAATGTTCAAGGTGAATAGCATCACTCGTAGGTATGAAGGCGCTAACTCATTGATTCGCGCACCCACATGTATCTCAATAGTTCCACTTGCTGCCTCAGATAGTCAACGAAATATATTTAAAGGGGTAATATCCCAGCTAGTTCAGAAGTGGCTTTAAATTGTTAGATTAAGACTCGGTGATTCATATTCAATTTCTAAGTCCTCCTGCATTCCTAATTTAGGTATCTCTCCTCGGGTCGGTTGCCTCAACAGGAATTACGGTTGATAAATCTCAAAATGGCCAGCAAGTTGCAACCTTTAATCTACTAACCAGAGCCAGGTACCGCTCGGCCGATCGGTATATGATGAAACTGGTGTACCACAGGTGTGTCATTGCATTTGATTCAGTGTGCAAAGCAAGCACTTAAGTGACACCAGTGTCTTCTGCATTCAAATTTGGAAATCTGTTTACCAGACGTACCTACTCAAAGTTCTGTTATATGAGCTCTTTACGATGAGTACATGCTATCTAGCAGCTCAGAGGGCCTTAATAACAGCCATTAGTTGTCCACTTGTTTCCGTAAAGTCAAATGGTATTCTCTTTCTCTTTTTCCATAATACAAAATGGGCCTACTTTGTTCTGTGTTATGGTTTCTTATCACTTATCATCCCTAGCGCTATTTATGTTGCATTTTGATATTCTGAGGGGTCCGTGAACACCTTTTTGTTTCCGCAGGTCGGGAACATTGCTTCCCTCGTTGTTTCGTAGCACAACATTCCTTTTTTTTCAGAATCCACGTATTCGACAAGCCGCTGATTGAACGTATAAAGAACATAGCACAGGGCGATAGGGTCTTTGTCCTGGGCTGCTTGACTTCCTTCAAGAAGAGTTCCAACGACTGGATGCAGTGCATCACAGCGCAGAATGTCATTCTACACGCTGACGCCGGCAAACCGCCGCAGCAGTTGGAGGAGGAAGAGGCTGACGGTGACGGGAATGAGGATGCAGAAGAGAGCATTTAGCGTGAAATCGCGGTCTGCACTTTTTTGACACACTTATCTCCGACTTGTGCCAGATGACAACTTTTCACTATTTTTCATTACATAATAAAGCATTACTTGTCTTGCCTTCAGGCAGTTGTTTTGTTCTCTAGGCTTCGAATTTAAGTCAAACGGTCGGAATGAAGTTTCATCGGACAAATTTACTCATGCTAAACAGAATTTTACCTATTTTCTTAATGGCAGCAATTTGTAACGAGTAGTCAGGGGAAGTGGTTTGCGACAGTGTTCCTTTAAATCTATGCAAGTCGACACTTGCGGCGTTCTTATTTCTATTCTCCTTGGTAACTTCGGTTTTGCTTAGGTATCGCGTGGATGAAGCTTGTTGTGTCGGCACCTCATTCTAAATTTAGATCTTGCAAATTTCAAAGCTTTTTTCACGTAGCAACGGTTTCCAACGCCCTTTGTCGTTAAATAGTCGCATTTTAATGTTGTGACTTGTCTAAATTCACACCTGTTCTAATGTTTTTCCCCCCTTCCGACAACCGGATAATTCTTATTGGTCTCTCGTTTTCTTTTGATTGACGCCACCATCATTCTTTGGTACCCTTGTGTGCTTCGACAATTTGGAAGCGAGCTCAAATCTTGGTGCTATTTCTCCTTTACTCAAATGCCTTCTCATACATAGCTAAATAGATGCTATTTTGTGAACTGGTACTTCTGGACTTGGTCCGCAATCTTGTAGCTGACTGGCTGAGAAATCGCTAAGTGCAATTAGGATAGAAAACCTATTGAAAAGTCCGCCAAATTTTGAGGTGGCCACTTTCTATCCCTGAAGCAGAACTTGTAATCAAACCTCGGTTTGGTCTGGAGTCTGTTAAGGCGTCAATATCGAGACACGTTCCCTTATGACCGGCAAATCGGTTTTACAAGAAGCCGGACTTATTCCTCGGTATCCACATTCTCCCACTTCGTGCCATTCTACAGTAGTGGTTCTAGGATAACCTCATCTTCAAAAGTTGTACTTGCCCTCCAAGATCCCTCCGTGGCGCATATTGTCCTCGTTAGGTGTCTCAACAATTCGCCACGATAGTTTTGCCAAAGAAACCTAGTCATGTACCCGTCTAACTCACTGATTCCTTCACCACACTTTCATTAACCCAACTGGCTAAATAACTTTATGTGATCCCGTAAGCATATTTAGGGAAAATATTACGAAGACATTCGCGATCGCACAACCCTTACTCATTCAAAATCACAGTCAAGAAGTAGGACAATTAAAAGGGCAACACCACGAAAGGGTGAAACTGAGCACTATGCTCTCATTCGTTAGCTTTGGTTTCGATAACCAATCAGATTCAAGTTTGAATCGATTCGAAGTATATAAGCTTCCACTTGAGCTTAAAAATGACTTCATTGTTTTTGGGGGTTACTAAATTGGTGAGATCCGAACTATAATTAAGCCAAGCTGTGCGAAATTGCATCCAATTTGCTGCAGATAACTTAGAAAGGGTTTTCCTTACATGGCTCGCACGATTTTTATTCTACGCAAGGAAAAGCATATTTTGGTGGGTATCGTCTGTCCGTCGAAGGCGAGAAATCAATGTCCGGAAACACATTGAATGAGAACTTATTAGGCAATATAGACGGCATTTTGTATTTGACAGTGGTTCATCATAAAAGAATTTTAACCCAGTGAATAACAAATCAGTAGACCCATCGATATTCGACACGTTAGTGGAGTTGAGGTTGGCTGAAATGCGTTCAACACTATCAGACACCAAAATTAGCGAAAAACCTTGTTTTTTGGAGTTGTATCTTGTTGGAAATCGACATGGAAAGAGGATAGCCGAGAATTCATATCACCAGGGCTGAGTTCAGATATCATGTGCCCTGATTTCGCTGATCTTCGGGTGTATTTTGTGTGAATTTGCGTCGAAACCACAATAGCCGTGGCTTCCATTTCCGTCCCATTCCTCAAAGTGGTAGTGACACGGACAGGCGGCCAGGTAGACACACGCCGGCCACGTACCTGTGTGGTTAATGGGCGCGAGCTGGTGCGCGCACGTGCGTGTGTGTACACCTTGGCTAAAAGAAGGCAGCACGCGAGGCGAACCAATCAGGCCGCCCCGACCGTTTGCTCAGTTGCTGATGCTGTGTGGACATTTAACAAATTCTCCCGAGTCACTCCAGTTGGCCTAAAGTGGGGGGATGCTGCTGCTGTGGCTCGTGCTTCTGGGACGTCTTGTGGCCGGCCAGCTGGAGAGTGGTTTTGGTGTTTTTCCCTTCACCCCGACCGGTCCCGTGGAATCAGAGCATGAGACCTTAAACAGCCGCGAAGACGTCTACAACACGGGCCAGGGTTACGGTGATGACCTGCTCCACGCACTCCAAACCGACCCTCAGGCTGTCACACAGCGAGACAAACTTGTTGGAATGCTGTTTACTAACTACAAAACCCACGAGAGGCCCACGGAGAAATTGGACAGGCCAACCGTGGTGGAGGTGAACATGAAGGTTCTGGCGATCTTTTCGGTGGATGTGCGAACAATGGACTACTACATTGACGCCTTACTGAGACAAACCTGGACCGATCCCAGGCTGGCTTGGGAGCACAAGGAAGGCTTTGAAAACTACACGCAGCCCTTAGTCTCACCTACACTCAAGGAGAACCTCTGGCTTCCAGATCTGTTCTTCCGCAACGGCAAAGACGGATACCTGCACAAAATGACACTCCCCAATTACCTCCTTCGAGTGCATCCCAATGGCGACGTGCTCTACAGTCAGAAGATAACGATGCGATTTGCTTGTCAGATGGATTTGGCCACGTTTCCCATGGATACACAATATTGTTTCATGAACATCGGCAGTTACGGGTACACCCTGAGTGAGCTCAAATTTGTCTGGCGTGAAAAGGAACCCGTAGAGGTGCAAAACAACCTCCAGCTCTCCGAATTCAACACACCGACAAACTTTTCCACGTTTGATTGCACTGCTCAGTCCTCCACGTCCACGGGGAATTACACCTGCCTAATGGCGAAATTTAGTCTGAAGCGACAACTAGGCAGTTACCTGGTGACAACGTACATTCCGAACATCCTCATCATCATGGTTTCGTGGCTGAGTTTCTATGTTTCCGTGGATGCGGCGCCAGCCAGAGTGCCACTGGGACTTCTGAGTCTGCTAGGTCTCCTGACACAGGCCTCCTCCATCACCGGGACGCTTCCACGCGTGTCCTACATCAAGGCCATCGACTTGTGGCTAATCTTTTCCATAATATTTGTCATAGGCGTCCTTGTGGAATACGCGATCGCCATCACAATGCTGCGACAGAAGCGGAAAGAAACCTGGCGAGGCGACGTCGAAAAAATCGTCAAGGAGGAGTTGACCAGGTGGCTTGCGGCCTGCGAACAGGGTCAGCTGGCGAGTATCAAGGGAGGCAGTGTTGTGGGTGGAGACCAGGCCTTCATCCAGCAACAATTGGCCTACTTCAGCGACTTGGACGCCTTCCTTACCAAATCTGTGATTGAGGAGACCAGAACAAAGAAGGGCGCAACGGGGAAAAAGAACAGAATCCCAGTCGCCGTGGAATCCGAAATCGACGCCTACAGTCGCTTCCTTTTTCCCACGTGCTACATTATGTACAACATTTTTTACTGGACTTACTACCTAGCGATTGTGAAAAAGTGATTGTCGATGTGATCTCGCCAATACCGTGTATGCTGTTCTCAAGTTTCCTGTCTCAAAACTTTGTATTGTCATAGAAAAAAAATATCTTCATGATGACACACTGGTCGTTACTCGATGATGTCCAATTCGCTGGTCTCTGGTTGACTATAATGTCCTTTATTAAATGGAGCCGACAACCGCCTTCCATCAAATGAGATGGCAGGACAAAATATCGATTAAACTGGTGTGCCCATGGCCAAGTCGTTTTATTTCCAAGTTGCATCAACGGAAGGTTTGGCTGTCGACAAAGTGAGCTTAATCGAACGGCTACGGCAGCAGTCAAATTTTGATGATAATTCATTTCGGCGTAGTTTTCCGTCCTTCAAAAAAGGTAATTAGTTGAGTGTTGATTTGATAATGGGAGATAAATCAGGCCAGCTATGAAATAATTGCATTGAATGGCTGGTCAGTTGTAAGTAATGCGTTGAGATCTCCAAATCAATTATGTTTTAGACTCGAACTCGTTTTCGAAAACTGCCTGAACAAGTACGCAGGTGTTAAATCATGTTTTTGCTTGACTGCGTGGTCGAGGAACGGATATTGCTCATCTTGCGGGGGGAAACTACTTCCCCGGTTCAACACGACATGTACGGGATGTCGTCGGCCAGCTCCAAACACCAAATCTTTGCGCAAAGCACAATATTTTCCCATTTAACTGTCTCTTGGGTTGTCGCAACAAATGAGCATCGTTCCACACCGTTTGTTTTAGCTTAAATTGTCAAGACGGCTTTATAGGAATATTGGCGCATGACGTGATCGGAAGGCCTTCACCCTCTTATGCCAATCGCCAGGTGTCTCTAAATGTGGCTCAGACGTTGAACAAGCGGTAGATGTTTCTGCGGTACAAGCAAGTTAACCAACGAAACGGTAAACAAAATTGACCAATGAACGAACTTTCCAAAAAAATCGATCACATGCAACGAAAACAAGGCCTTGTCGATTCTTAAAGGGCCTAATCAATATTGATATTTCATCCCATAACGGCTGTCTTGCGCTCACACAGGGCCAAATGATCTGTAAGAAGGAAAATTACTGCGTTTACAACATGTTTACAGTGCGTTTGAGGTCACCACCGCGCCTTTTCGCATCAAATTTGGGCACAGGGGGCGTTGCAGTGACACCGGTTTTTATGAGCCTGCTACCCTAACCCTCACCTCAATTCCAACGCGTGTAAGAACTCGTTGTCCCCTATGCGATGTCTTGACAGGACGCGGTAGCACGGATGATGGTGTCGAAGCGTTTTCGTCAATTCCGTTAAGTTCTGGCTGTCTTTTTATCGTATGTACAGTTTACCTTAACTATGAAACAATAAGTGAAACGAAATATGGCGCCACAAACTGAAAATTAATTGACAAAACTCCTTTTTGTGGATGAATTTGGGCAGACAAAAGGCTCTACCTAAAACACACTAAACCGCAATCTGGCCAGTGGCCACAAGTTCTGTTCGTCCGCCTTTCTGGACCACGGGAAACGCCGTTTGGATAAAGTTTTTGTTTCTGCAGCCAAAAATGTGAATTTTAACAACTGCGGCCTAATGCGCGCTTGGCGCAGCACTGTGGATCAGACGAAAGACGAGAGAAAGTCTCATGGAAATCAAACTTTATGTGAAATTTTTTTTAAAATCAAATCAAAATGATGAACATTGCAGTCAAAGAAAGGCCCAAGAACTTCATAAAATAGGTTTGTGCTTTATAGTCCAACAACTATATTTCCGCTTATTAATGGCAATCAGCTGACCATCCCACTTGTCAGCCACTCTTAGCTTAGTTTTTACAACGTGGGACTCGGAAAACTTTTCCTAAACTTGTGATTGACTTAATGCGGCTATAAATAATTTTGTTAACTCGCAGAAGCCAATTATCCATTTGTTCGTGGCTCAAATCAGGGTCCTTACAGAAGTTTCGGCCGGAATTATAGATCTACCAGAAGCTGTAACTTCCAATGTTCTCACCGAAGCTGAAATGCCATTTATAGGACACCGAACAGAACTTGCGTGGCCATCTGCAATTTCGGTGCATCCTCCTCCCTCTTGGCATCAACAGTTTCAACAATTTCTGTCAGCGAACGTGTCGTCTTATTTCCCAACAGCCGGGAAACACCACTCTAAAAGCCCTCAGTTCACGGATACTACTGCAAAGAAGATGCCCAACACTTCACAACGGACTCCTTCCAGCTGTGTCGATTTACGACACAATACGAAGGCCAAAGACGATAGAGTCCATGTTTGTGCGGGAGTAGCTACGAGTCTAGCGGTCTTGGCAATGCCAGTCAGTGGTTCAACTTAATAATGTGATATTTTATGAAAATAGAGTCTTGATGCTTCCCTCACAATTCTTATGCCACAGTAAGGACTTGTTGTGAATCGTGTTTATTCACACCCCTCAAACCGGTCGCTCCACCTCCGACACCCAGGGTTCCCCTTTTCGCAGAATGTCGCCAGACGCGCGGATCCTCAACTACCCTTCTTGGAGTATCCTCACACCTAGGTCTCGATGTTAGCGCATGTACGACTCACACATCCGAGGTATAAATACACACGCGCAAACCCCACACACGACACAACGACACCGACGTGGTTGAGCTCTGAAGTAAACGGTTGTGTCCACGTCCTCTCCGATCTTTTCCTTCATCGCAGGCATCAGGGAAGCGTAATCGGGCCGGGGTTAATTCCGTGGTCCCGGCGTGGTTCAAGACCACATGCTGAGGCCCACAACAGACCCTTAGCAAAAGAGGTGCGACCTTGGGACTCGATGTTTCCAGTCAATACAGTCAGCACCGAATTCGTTGTTATGGTAGTAATTCCCCAGTGCATATTCGCTTGTAGATTCTTTGCTTTGGCCAGCTGGACAAAACTGGGTTAAAGTTGCTCGACAGTCAGGATTTTTGGGCCATCTGGGTCACTGGACAAGCAAGCTAATATGATTGTCTGGCGGAATGTGTGTAGTCGTGACTGGCTACTGATAATGGACGGGACTCGTTGTGTAGTGATGGCTGCGTACCTGAAGCATTCTTGTCTTCCATCTTACACGACCATGGAGTCCTTCTCTCCCCGATTTGAAGTTATTGGCGAGTTGTGTTGTGTGTGTCCTTGGAATACTTGAAGTTAAGAAGTAGAGAGGACTGAGTGAACTAACTGTTTTAAATGAGAGGGTCTGATTGTGATGCTGGGGATGCCCAATTTACTTCTAACTCTTGCCGGAAACAAGCTCAGCTGCAGCAGGGCCTAGATATTGCTTTCCAGCAAACCAATGTGGCTTTTTCTTCTAGCGAAGTCTTACTACTAGACTTTAAGTAGCCTGTTATACCCGTGGACTGAAATTTCTGCGTGCTGTCGTTCAAACTTTGCTCGGCTCCTAAAACCGGGTCTTATTTTAGTGGATGCGCGTCCCGACTCGCGCCTTTAAATCCGTTTTTGTGGTATGGGGGACCCTCCCATGAAGGCATTCATTTGTTAACGCAATTTATACTGTGGAGATTTCTTATGGAGTCACATTGTAACCAGGATATACCTACGGAATATAAACGTGTGCTAGTTTGTGTAAACCGAACGATATTCTCATGCCTTCCTACCGTGACTGGAGTTCCCTTCACCATCACAACAGATCTTGGATCATAATACTTTCAGAATACTTGCCCGATTTTCGAGTAAGACCCTCAATCGAAAAAGGACCAATCTGCTACGATCTGGTTTGATGGCAAGTTTCCACCGTCAACTGGAGGCTGTTGGGGGCCCCAGCACGTGGTCTTGAACCACGCCGGGGCCACGGAGTTAACCCTGGCCCGATTACGTTTACCTGATACCCACGATGAAGAAAAAGATCGGAGAGGACGTGGGCACAACCGCTTACTTGCGAGCTCAATCACGTTGGTGTCGTGTGTGGAGATTGCGCGTGTGTATTTATACCTCGGACGTCTTAGATACGGAACCATTCGCGGGCAAGATGGCATGAAATCGTGACACAGTTCTCCACAATTTATCGTAACCATGTGATCAGGCGAGCACATGATTAGACCTGAGTACTTTCTGGAATGACTTGGGGCGGCCAGCATTCCCCAGGGTGGTGCATTACCAATTAGGATTTTGTCATCTGTGCTAATCCACCTTGCGTCAAGGCCGCTTGTAGTGGACTGGCAGCCACCTCGCGTGAGTGATGCGTGTACCATCCATGGCCGAGTGGACCAATGACTCACCCCTTTTGTTATTGATTTCTGTCAGCACTCGCCTGTTACGCAAGCGTACTCATACGCACACAAAGCCACTTGGCTGGTTTGACACTAATAAACAGTCGTGCTCTCTGTCGCCTCCTTTTTCCTTTCCTCGGGTAGTTACGGGCTGTTAACTAGAGGGTTGTACGGTAGTGCTAAATCCCTAGCCACTACACAGCTTCGATTGATATTAGCAGGTACATTCTGACACGTCACTCGATATTTGGTTGAGACGGCAAAAGCTCCTTGTGTGACGTCTTTGCTTTGTCCAGTATTGGGGAGGTGGTCTCTGGCGTCAGACAAGGAACCAGGGGTACCGGTTATCTGAGTGCGTGGCTCTGGTTATGGACAAAATGTAACTGAATCAATTTCCCACTCTGATCTGTCGGCATTAGCCCCTTATCCCAATTCGGACTTGTTTCTAAGTTTCGCACCCTTATTAGGCGATTAGTTCTTGATTGGCCTTTCAAACTTCATTCGTTGCGTCCAGCGACTGTGTTCACGACTCAATTTCAAAGTTGCTGATGACCCTTCACTAGTCTCTATCGTCTTGATATTTTAGCAAATCGGTATATTTTCAAATAATCGACACTAGGCCCTTAATGTGGGTGTGAAGAAGCTACAATAGTCACGAACGCGAATACATCACCAACCCAATCCCCGTCGGAGAATCAACCACATACCCTCCGGAACTCACCTTTTGGCGGAGACTTTTTCCGCTAAAACAAACCCGGCGGTGGCTATCGCTCTGGCATTTTGTCGATTTAAGAAACCAGAAAAAAGTCGAATTCAATAAGTGAATTGGTCAGAAGTTGGTTTGTGTGAATCCAGGTTCACACCTTGTGTAACTACAAACCACTGTTCATTTATTAAATAGATGGACGTTTTATTTCCGATTTCAGGGTTTCCTAACGCTCCCGGAACTCCGTAATAAGGAGTTCCACTTCCCAAGAAGCCCCAATTTTTGTAACCCCGGCCGCATGAGGACCAAGTTTTCACTTTCGTCCCAGAAGAAATTCGCTTTGTTTGCTGGCCCACAGTAAATGATTAATTCTTTCTAAAAACGGTCAATGAAATTTCGCACACTCTAATTTGGTAAATTATAAACATCTTCGATCACGTGTATGTCGGAATTATTTGGTTTGATGTGAAAACGGGGTATCGATTATTTACCAATGCGAGACTTACATACACAGAAGCGGTCAATCACTCGGTACGTAGAAACGGGATTTAATGACCTCGACATGAGTTTTATAAGCGCTGCCGTTGCGCACCTGTTGGTTAATTTAATCAGTGAACTAGCAAGATGCTAAAATGCATATAAATGCTTAATATCCCTTCGAAATTCTGATTAAAAATTGTAAATTTGCAAAAGGTTTTGTCGTGAATCGTGTTTATTCAACCCCTTAATCCGGTCGCTCCACCTCCTACACAGGGTTCCCCTTTCCCCCTCCTCTCCCTCCTCATTCACCCGGATATTCACCTTGGAGTATCCCCACACCTAGGTCTCGATGTTAGCGCATGTATGACTCACACATCCGAGGTATAAATACACACGCGCAAACCCCACACACGACACAACGACGCCAACGTGGTCGAGCTCGCAAGTAAACGGTTGTGTCCACGCCCTCTCCGGTCTTTTTCTTCATCGCGGGTATCAGGCAAGTGTAATCGGGCCAGGGTTAATTCCGTGGCCCCGGCGTGGTTCAAGACCACATGCTGGGACCCGCAACAGTTACTTTTTGAGGTCCACAACATAGCCTAATCAGCTAAATACACATTTCACCAGGCAAACGATTTTCGCTGTCAGTGAACTACACCAGTCGATCAGTCAATCTGAGTTCGCTGATGAACCAGTGGCTTGCAGTGTCTTGATGCGTGTCTACACATGTCGAGTAATTGAGCAGGACTGGACGTTACCATGATCAGTTTCGGGCTGCGTACGCGAATATCTACGGTGAGGCACATTCTCTAAAATTAACCAATTGCCTGGATTTCACTTTGAAATTTAAAAGCTTATTCTCCAGCATCGTGAAAATGAAGCTTACTACACCGAAGAAAAATACGGGTATTTTGGCTATAACGGTGGAAGTTACAAAGAAAACGACGATTCAGTGCAACTTGCACCCATGGAAGAGCACTAACCCAATGCTCTCGTCGTAGAAATTCACAAAAGCGAACACGTAAATCGCATTAACAATGTCATCTGGGAGAACGGCAAGGCCAAAATCCCGATTAAAATTTATGCAGAAAGTTATAGTAAACTAGAAGAAAAACCGTAGTCAATGGAACTCATACCAGGTTAACAAAAAAATCACCATTATTTACATTTACAAGTTGAAAAAATTGAAGACCTGACAGCTAATTTTGCAGTAGGTTCTTCTTGAGCTTCCTATGGACTGCGGCAAAATGAATCCAGGGATACGTTGCTACTAACTCTAGGAAATCGAACCTGCTTGCCAGTAAGAATGGAGTAACGGCAAGACTCCGAGTACAGCGCCTAAAATTGCCACGAAATGTGATCAAATCACTGCATTGTAAACTTAAGAAATGTGAATCAATGGACACAAGCAGCACCATCCAGTAAAACAGTAATTAACTTTAAATTACTCCCGAACACAAAATCCAGCTTTGTTTGTCGAGCTTTTCACCCGTTACCACGGCAATATCGCCAGGATTGCGCAGAGGCATCAGGTGTTAGAAGGAAGCCCAAATGCTAGATGGTCGAGGGAGTTAAATAAGGTTTTCTTAAACACAAACAAGCTTTGTCAAAAGTGCACTACAACGGAAGTTGGCATCCGACGGTTTAACGAGGTTGCCTCAAGCACGGATTCTAGTGCATGAACACACTGCGAGGGACACGGCACAAGAGTTGCCTAGCCTCAAAGTTGAGCTAAGATACCTCGTTTGGGGATTGGATAATCTCCCTCCACAAAATGCGTCAATGAGCAAAAGAAACTAACGTCCATTTATCCGCCTAAAACATCAGCACCTAACTAGTAAGGAATGAGCATCACGATGGCCTGAGCCTCGCTTGGCTATTCAAGATTACAAGAAAAACGCCTAGACCTGGTTGGGGACGTGATCGTGGTCATCTTCCGACTAAAAAACAAAGTTGTACGCAGTAGTCCTTATCTGAGCACCGGCTGGCTTGTCATTCCGACGGTCGTAGGTCCCATCACTGGATGAAACTTCGATGTCATGGCAGATTCTGTCAACACAAACACCAAAACGGGAGGCTACGAATACGGAGCGCACCTGTGAAAAAACTGAACCTAAACTATTAAAAATTACACATTAGTGGAACAAAATCATACTACGCAATCTCACAGGAGTTTAAAGAGTAGGTAGATACTACCTTGCTCAATTTCTACTAACAAGTGCGACTCGGTTACACCTGAGCCAACCTGTTCTGTACTTCTAAGAGGTTTGAAAGCTAACATCACAGCGAGTCAGTGCCAAAACGACTCTTAATCAGCCATCAAATAGAATTGTCGACGTAGCCAATAAAAACAGACGTAGAGAGAACATTTTACTCCAACGATACTCTGAAATACTCCAAAATGAGATATGACTGCAACAATTAAATGTAATAGTAAGGATAAAAGATCCCGATCGATTAATAAATACATGTCCTTGAGATAATTTGTCATTACATTCGCGTTGTACATCCTAGGGCTTGCGCGCTTTGCGTAGCGGGTTGTCGTAGGGAAATTCCAGATCTCCATTGTAATGCATTCGCACGGGCGGCACCCTCGGGTCCGTGTTCTTGCTGGCCCCAAAGTAGTGCTTGTTGAAGTAGTACTCATCCCGCGGTTTATCATCGTAGAACGGGAGACGGATGTCTGGGTTTCGGAGCAAACACACTACCGTGTATGTGGCGAACGCAGCGAGTCCGCTCCCCACAACGAACATGAGGTAGGTGACGGCGAAATTCTTCTTCATCCACGCCAAAACGGCACCATTGCGCGCCGGGATGATCTCCAACTTGCTCCTACGAGGACCGAGGGTCAAGAGACGCGAAAGTATCATAGCCAAAGACGCAAATGGGGCGCCAGCGCATGCTGGCAAGTGAACGCGCAACCTGACGGCGCCAGTAGCCAATCACAGGAGAGCGCTGCTCTAATTGGCTAATCTCCCAATCAATACGTTCTTTGCGGCGTGCTTCGCCTCGCGCGCTTAAGGTGCGACAAGCATCGTTGTTTAGCCTTTTCAATGGGGGTTGTTAGTTTTGAGTGCCATCTGGGGACTTGGAGTTTACGGATTTTACGGGTTCTTGCTTATTAAGATGTAAATCTGAAGCGGGAGGGATCGGATTTAGCGTGCCTGTTTGCCAAGCAGCATTACAGCTGTCTTCTGCAGCCATTGGTTGAGCGAAAAACATAATGGAGTAAAGTGGCGGTGGATGGCGTCGTTTGTTTAATATCGTTTTAAACCCTTCCAGCCGTACTCTCAGTTTTCTTTAGGAAAAAAATTTTGAAGGACTTGATGGGTTGATACGTTTTGATTACAGAAAAACCACCTAGAAACGCTTAAAAGGATTTGACATTCCTAGACATTGTGAGTCCTACAGGGATCCATCAGTTGTAAATGCAGAGGTCGAAACACCAATCTACTTAGTTGGTAGGTGTCACAGAACCCCTTGGCCGTTTTACCAAGGTACGCTGACCGATTTGATTCAGGAGTTAGTAACGAACGAAATTTGATTAATAGTGACTTGCTATTTTGTTATTTTCCGCCTCCTTTGACCAATCACCTAAAAACGACAAACGACAAAAACATCCAACACTTCTACACTGAACGAAGTAAGTTGGTAGCAAAGCAGGCGACCGCGAATGCGTGTTGGTGTCATCCCAAGGTTTGACTTCCCTGAGCCACTACGGATGATTCTACTGTTGTGGCAATGAATGAACGAGACGAGAGAGACTAAACGGTTTATTTGACGTCTTAACCAGGTCCTGCGGTTCGCGTTTGTGCGTGTGTACTTATGGCTGCGAAGCGTGAACAGCATGAGTCATGGGTGTACTAACATAAGGGCTAACCAGGGCTTCTCTAGACATGTAGGACGAGTTGAAGATAAACGGTCGAGTTTATCGGCGTGGACGTGGGGTTAAGGCTGTGGTTTAGCAGGGGATCTGTAGGACTTGTAAGCACGGGAAACGGTCATCCATGAACTGTGGCAACGGTTGTGAAATTCACAGGATTCGCCGCAGCAAGTCAGGTGCCACTTGCCATCGCCGCTGTCGAAATCGACAAAGCCTAGGCCATATTGTGCAGCCTACAAAGCTGTCTGCGTGAATTTTACTAGTTTACAAGCCGATGTGATGACCCACACGAGGACCTTTGAGATGTGGAACTAGTAATAAGGCCACCAAAGGGGCCTATTTTGACTACGGCTCCCAGTGTAACTAAGGCAACAACTAGACTGACTGGTTCTTAAATTAGTTTTACCACAAGTTGCGTTAATTGATACAAATGTGAACTCATGAACACTGAAGGAAAAGATTTACTTTACTTATGGCTGCCACATTTCCACAACAAAAATCCCACAAAGTAAACTGCCGGTTACTTGCTTGAAAGGTAGCACTGGGTAATTATTTAACTATAGTCTAAGTTGAATGACAAAATAAGATCCCATGTCAAATTTGGAGTCGTCAACTCACTCATTACCTCAAATTGATACGTCAAGAATTTCTCGTGGACTCAACCTTCACGCGATTAATGCCGATTCCACCGTCTGCTAGACGCCCTGAACGTCTTAGGTCCCACACTGGATCCAAGAAGCTGTTCGGATTTTAGTCACAAGTGGTCATTTTGTCCCCATGAAGTCATGGATCAGCCCACCAGGACTCGCCTCGACAACTACGTGGAATTCTTTCAACCTACAAAAATAGGATTGGCATTTTTAAAGGATTAGAACAGTTTCCTGCATTGGAAGTTTCCGTTATTCACCACAAAACGGTCTCTCGGGTTAGGTGCATATTTGGTTCAAGACCATATTTGGTTCTGGACCATCCGTTTGAAGGAGGTACAAGGCATCTTGCTTGGGTGTTAGAGTCGATGCTGTACTTTGTGGGGTGGAATTGAATTGACTGCCCCAAGTCAAAGAACTCAGCTACTTACGCCAGCTAGTTGAGAGACTGTATCCCTTGAAAACAGAGAATCCAATTTACAGGCATGTTTAAGCAACGTGTCTGTTGAACCGTGGAAATTTCAGAATGGGTCTCGAACCACACGGCGTATTGGCCAGACAGCAGCCGTTAATTAGACTTCAAAACTTACTTTTTGCGTCATGGTGCCTAGAAAGATGAATATACTTGTGAGACATACGGGTACCTGGGCTACCTGAGTCATAGAGGCCGTCAGTCAATGGAAGTCGGACTTATGATCAGGTGGTGTGGTGGTGGTAGCAAAGTGATTTTAGGGGTAATGCGCGCCAGGGTGCAAGAACGCACGTGTCCGTGCGAGGCGGGGGGTGGGTGTCTGAGGGCGGTGGAGATGTTGTTGATTGGTGTGAGTCATCATGATTCACTTCACGATATCACACAGGTTTAGGGTTGGTCTCTGGCACTTTTTAACCGACGCTTTAGGAATTGCTGTTGCTGTTGTTGCCACTACAGTGGTGAATTCGTTTCCTTGATTACATAAGTGGATATGAATACGCCAATCTTTCACTTTTAAAGCAAACATGGAAGCCGTAGTGGAAGGAACGTGTTCTATAAATTGATTGGAACGAGTCCAGAATCCTTACACCTAGATCTCACACCCCCACGTGAATTTTCCAAGTTGACCATGCCGACGGTTTTGTTTGCCCGTGGTTTTAGTGATAGTGACAACGGTGAATTAGCTAAATTGCACACTGAATTGTTTTGACAACTTCCGATAATTAGGTTGAAACCATAACATTGATAACAAAATCTGTCTGTTTTAGTCGGTGCACTTTTGGCAAATATCGATTTATCACACCTGTAAGCGAGTTGTTTGGATAATGTGTGGGTATTTTCACCGATCGTAAAGCATTTTTTGTTCCAGTTTTTCATGCTGCCGATTTGTCTGATTCAGTAACTCCGTGTGGTATTGAAAAGACGGCCTGGTTGTTCTGACTGGGGCCCAAGCTGTCGTTGAGTTTTCGTCGAGTCTTCATCCAGTGGAGCTTGCAATTCAACATCTTTAAACTTTCGAGGCTGCTATCCGGGGTGTGATTGGCCAATAAGATTGAAATCACCACTTCTGAAACACTTGTATCAATACTTAGACGGCTCATAAGATACTATGTCGGCCCCAAGAACACTACAAATTGATTGTCGTGCTTTAGGAGCATTTTTTATGCTGGAATTCGTAAAAACCGCAGTGTCGTCGAATGTGCTGTTTACGTCCTAAAAGCACGTAAATTTTTCGTTCGGTGTTCTGAAACCTTGCGTCTGACCATTTCAAAACCACAAAGAAACCACAAAAATCGTTCTATTTTAAGTAGAATTTTAGACTTGAAGTCATGCGCCTGATAATTTCACCTATTGTAACGTACTTAATTGCTCCATCTGTCCGACTGTGGTTTTTGAACAAGCCGACGTCTGACCCTTATCTGTTGTAGGTCCAATTTGAGACTCGAACCCATGGCGGCTTTATCGGACACGAGGAAACAGCAAATCAATAAAGGGGTCTCAAGTGCTTATTAGACCGATACGGCACCCTATGTACCCAAGGAAGGAGTGGGAAGGAGGCGGCGAGACACAACTGCTTATTCGTTGTCTCAACAAAGTTGGGTTACCGTGGGAGTCCATTCAAGGTCGTGCTTGACTAATGGCGTTGTTGACCAATGCAGTTTGCGCGAACAAGGCACAATTCAAATCACTGAATGGTTAGATGAATGAAGCGGGTTCTGGTGTTGGACACACAAGCGCAGGGATGAGTGGGAAGACAGTTCCGTAGGACTGACTGACATTTCGTGAAAAGGTGTGTCGTAGAATGCGGTGACAGGAAGGATGGACGTGAATCAACACGAACCACCACCACAATTTTATTTCCGTACTCGGTTAACATGAACGAGAAATTGTGGGTGGAATGGGAACGTCTGGAGTCATTGTTGGTTTGGAGGTTTAAGAAAGAAAAGCACTGATGTCGAGACGAATCCAATGATGCGACAACTGTCGAGTGGTTAGCCCTGCAGGTGTGACATCATGGTCCTAGCTACAATCTGCTGTTCTTATGGCGAAGTGTTGTGAAGATATCCGCCCATAGATTCTGTCGCCGTAGTCTCAGACCCCCGTTCCCCTTTTCACTGATTCAGACATTCGTGCGCGCATACCCCCCTCCCCCGCCAGCTACCCATACCACTCATCTGGACATTCACTGGTAAGGTCAACAACCTCCACTAACTCACTCGCCACTTTTACGCCCAGTGACACGAGATGCTAAGCTCTCCTGGGTTGAACATCCAAAATAAACGGTTGAGTCCCTCTCTCTCCTCTCGCCTTATTTCCTCTCATGGAGCAACAATAGTTTAAATGTTAACCGCAGAATTCCAGTGAGATCATACTTCTACATCGTAAATGAACGCTCCGGTATCTAAATGTGCGCTAAGGAACTGTTGAAATTGACCGAAATGACGAATTGACGAAAAAATCAGGTTCCCGAACAGCCTTGTTTTCATACTCAAAGCCGATAAAATAAGTGTAATGATTCTCGTTTTAGATTGACTTAACCGCGGCACTTTTCCCTACAAGTCCTTCAGGTAATTTTTCACACCACACCTTTACTCTAAACGGTTCTGTGAATTTTTGTGAAAACTACTTACACAGACGTAATGTGGTTATGGTAGGGAAGTTCGCATTCTTAGTCGAGATCGTTTCTCCTTTTATTCCGAATGCAAACGATTGGTTTCCTTATCGTTCAAAGCCAAAAGTTGCAGAAATCGACTGTGGCCATCACGTTACCCGCCACATCATTGGAGTGTAACTGCATTGATTTGCAACATTATCAACCCATATCAATCGAAACCGTGTCTACAACAGGTATTAGACGGGAAAGTGTGC